AGATTTGCATAATTCATAAAAATTGTAAACACAGAAGTTAAAATTATAACGTGTGTAACAATGTTGCCATAAACAAAATGACCCTAATCACTTGGAAGCTGTTACCAACCAAATTTAAGTTTTAGATTATGTTCCGTCTTGATATTATTCGTGTATTTTAATAACTAAGACATTATTTTTATATTGTGCTAGAAGACCTGGCGAACTTCGTATCGCCCTATAATCAAGAAATATCTATTACGTTTTTTTATTTATATTTTTGGAGTTTACCTGTAAGCCATAAATCTCCGTGTTTTGAAGTGCGACAGAATGATTGACATATTAGTTAGTTGTCAAATCTAATGTCAAAAAAAACGTTTGTATGGGAAATAGAAAAGGGCTGTTTTTATGGTTTTCCCAGTAATGAATCAATTTTTTTCAGCTTTTAAACCTTTCCTGGACTTCCAGGAGTATTTCAAGACTAAAATTAGCGAAATCGGTTCAGCCGTTCTCGAGTTTTAGCGAGACTAAGAAACAGCAATTCATTTTTATATATATAGAAGATTAGCAACTTTATATTGACATAATATTTTTTTTTTTGGCACTGTTTTTATAATCTTTATAATGTGTGACGGCTATAATTATTCATCTGCGTGAATCAATAACTACATTTTATTGAAATTTATGTGAAATAAAATGAAAAAAAATTCAAAATTAGATGTAGTTATTTATGAATTCAAGAAATCAAATCATTGAACCAATGTTTCTGGGTATCGTCTGTTTATTTTTACATTAGAAGTTTTATTTATACCGTAACAATGAATAAGAAATACTTAAGTTTTAAGTCACCAAATAAATGTATGTTCAAATTATTTAATCACATAAAGAGGTAGAAGTTTTTAAATATTTAGTTAAATTCATTATGAAATATTATTGTTTATTCATATGTAGGTATATTCAAACCCCCTTGAGCAAGCGTAGTGATTAATGATCAAACCTTCTCCATGTGAGAAGAGGCTTTTGCTCAGCAGTGGGCTCCAAAAGGGTGATGATGATGATAATGACTTGTATATAATATAAATTTTCTGCTAAGATAGTGATCTGTAAGTCATCCGAATTTCAACAATATCATAATATTAAGACGTTTAAAAGAAATACATATGTATAATATTTATGAAACTATTTTTTTTTTTTCATTGCTGGCAGATGTCGTACATTTGAGGTAGACATCAAATACTGACACGGCTTACTTGCGTAATAGCTGAGCATTGTTTTGACGTTTCAATTTGTGTTGACTGTTTCGATATTTCATAAATCAAAACAAAACATAAAATAATAAAGCAAGCAGTATGTTGTTTGAGTGTTATTGATGTATTGTTAACAGTATTACTTGATCAAAACGTAATATCGAGCTATTTTAGTTATTTTCTTTCTTAATTTCTACCAGTTTAACAAAAAGGAATGTGTTTTCGTAAACTTCCACGATTCACCTGCAGTCCGTTGTCTAGAAGTTATACATTTTAGTTGTGCACTGTATCCACTGAACACAGTTGTATGTGTTCAAGGCTAACAAGACGTACACAAGACTCCTGTACACGTGGAAGACTTATTACCATAAAACAACACTTCATTAAAACAGCATCCCTACCAAAATAAAAAATTGTCCTTGACCGATACCTATTGTCTTGTTTTTAGAAAAAAGTGAATTGTCAACACTTATACCGTACGATACTATTTAGGTGTACGCAAAAGAAATAAGAAATATAATTAACAGAACAAAAACTCTTTCAAAAGTAAACTAAAAGAAAGAAATTTTTCTGGTAAAAAAAAAACATTTAGCGTTACACCTTTGTAGACTTTTACATTCATATGTTATTATATACTTAATTATTTTTTTTATTTTTATATTATTAACAGTGTAGGAATTAAGATTTTTTTTGTCACCTCTTTTTTAGAACATGTTTTTACTAGAAATATATTAAATTTATGCCACACCCTATGATAATTACCTGTACGAGACGACGTAATCTTTTGGGAATTGAAACTCAATATACATTTACGATTCCTACAAAATGTTTGCTTCATATAATTTACTACGAAACTTTTCTCATCATATTAAAAGGAAGTGACAACAGACAAATTAATGTCTGACTGTATTTTATCCCTAAGGATACAGATACAGTCTCAGGAACTTTAAATTCTCGCTTCAGTCAATAAACTCTCAAATGCAATATTTTTTTTAATTAACAGAAAATGTTATTTAAATGAAATCTTGAACTATATTAAAATATGCATGTTTGGTTGCCACCAATAACTTTTTATCCCTTAAAAACAAATACCTCTTCTTACATGGAAAAGGTTAGAGCGTTAATCACCTCGCTTGCTAAAGACGGATTGGAGATGTGAAACTTAAATTGAAATTACAATTCCAGGTTCCCTCACTATGTTTTCCTTCACAACCTGTCAGTGGTATCTAAGCACTCTTAGAAAGTACATAGGTATATATAACTCGGAAAAATCACATTGCTATTTGCCAGATTTCGAACTCGCACCCTCATGTGTCAGAGGTGAGCCTTCAACTTCCAAGCCACCACGACTTATAAATATATAACATAAATATAAAATCAATATATTAGATATTCATTAAATATGAAGAGTTATTCTATACGTCTGTATAAACAACTATTAGTCATAAAATAAATAGCTCCCATTTCCTTTATAAAGTCTTAAAAAAATATCATCGATTGCAAATAGTTAAGATATAACCAAAAGAAAACCTTCATGACGCACCCATAACTATCACGTAACACATATAATATTCATACGATTATGTAATAACATATTGCGTTAATCGAGCAATATATGCGATCAACTTCAGTGTATTTTGGTTTTAATATGTATGTATTTAGTTGTCTAATAAACTGAACGGTCAAACACAGCTGCCGGCTATTTGTGGCTTGTCATGTTTGAAGGGCACAGACCTTATAGAATAGATATACTTACACTGTTATTAACCGTATAATCTCTGAGAAGTGTGAAGTTTCTAATAGTTGTAAATATTATCTTAAGATATACATATATATAGTTGATATCTGTCTGTCAATTTACGTATCAGCGTATTAAGACTTGTAGATTTACTTCAATACTTTGATTGTACTGTTTGCTACTTATTGATTGAAAGTCAACGAAATATATGAATACATAAAGTTTATCATCATCATTCATCACATAATAATCATCATCCGCCTATCAGAGCCCACTGATGACCAAAGGCCTTTTCTCAAATGGAGAAGGCTTGAGCATTAATCACAAGGCTTGCTCAAGAGGGGTTAATGATTTCTAACATATAATTTGAAGTCCAGGTTTCCTTGTTGTGTTTTCTTTCGCCATCTATCAGTGGGGTTTATTGTCTAAATACTCTTAGTACATAAGTATGTATGCCTCGGTAAAATCACATTGGTACTTGCCAGGATCGAACCCGCGCCCTCAAGCATGAGAGGAGGACCTTTAACTTCTAAGCCACCCCCACAACCATTTATATACTCGGATTATTTTTTTTACCAAAACGCAATACATATACTCGTCTTAAGGATATTTTCGTAAAATTGTCAAAATTTCTTTTCATAGATTTTATAATGGTGATCTCGAAAACAACAGGATAATACTGTTCATTGAATTTTTAAGTAAGTTTTATATAATTTATTCAGGCCTCATTATTTTCCGATATTTCTCATATTCATTATTCATTGTCTAATTGCTATTACTATCTAACTGTTACATATTTATTATAATTTAATTTATAATATTAGGAGTGCAAATATGTTTCCTCCGTTTTATTGTAGATGGCGCGGCACGGAGTTTCGGTTAGCTTTCGCAGATGATAACCGGCTTAAAAAATTGTTTATAGATTCAAGAACAACATAACCTATTAATATAATTGATTTTATATCGGTAAAATATATTTTTATAAGTTGAGAATGTCAAAATTTGAACCAAGTAAGCGTCATTTGCGGGAAATACTAGTTTACTTCTTTAATTTAAAGAAATTTGCTGCTGAGGCGATTGCTTGTTGAATTGCTTGTAGAAGCATATGGTGAGGGTGCTTTGAGGGACAGAACGTGTCGAGAGCGATTTCAAAAATTTAAAGACAGTGATTTCGACGTTGAAGACAAGATCGCAGTGGAAGGCTAAAAATTTACGAGGATGCAGAATTGGAGGAATTATTGGAGGAAGATTCATCTCAAATACAAAAAGAGCTTGCTCTAATATTAGAAGTCACTCAGCAAGCAGGCTCACATCGTTTAAAATCATTAGGTATGATTCATAAACAAGAAAATTGGGTTCCGTACGAATTAAAGGCGAGAGATATTGAACGCCGAATATGCTTAAGTGAAAAACGGCGGAAACTTATTTGTACTCCAGTTTATACTGTATTATTATTAATACACATTATACTTTATATTTAAAGAATAAAAGTTAATGTCTCTATTCTTAAATCTTGACACTTTTTTTCCTTCTTTAGTTTTAATTTATATTGTTTTATATTATCCCTTTGTAACTCGCTGTTAACCTTTTTAAATAGATAACGCTTATATAACAAATATTTAAGAGTTCCTGGTTTTGTCAGCTTACTAGTTTAAATAACAATAGTTTTTTTATAGAATCAAATAGAAAATACAGCTGAAGTAGTATAAAATGTCACCTTTAATATGCCCAAATTATTTTGTCAAGCTCTCATTAATTATCATTATTCCACTGTGTTAAAAAATAACAACAATCAAATATGATTGTAGCGATTATATCATCTAATTTCAATACATCAGATATTATCCCTTTACTGTGTTTCATAATTAAAGTAAAAGACTCTTGTTTGATTTAATTCTTTATAAAAAAATATTACATACAAATTTCATAAAAAATAATAATATCAAGCTATTTATACAAATATAACAAGAATATATAATTGAACTATATATTACTTTTATTTTTAGTGTGTCTAAAAATTATTACAATACATATTTTTATTTATGTTTTTGTATAACGTCATTTTTCGCACTAGCAACACTGCCTCTAGGTTCAAAAAGGTAGCACTGATGGTAAGCACTCCCAAGAGCTCCGGTAAATTTTGGCGAATAGTTGTATATTAAATATTTATTTTCTTCGGCAGCATTAGAAAAAGAATTATAATTGTATCTGCATTCTTTGACGAAGAAATCCATGAAGTGACGGTTCGCAACCAAGGAGTCGTAGGAATGAGGATAATTCTTTGATAATTTCCACTCGAAAGAAATCTTTTCTGGATGGAACTGGACTCCGTAGAAAGGGTATCTGTAAATATTAGTTATAATATATACATAATTTAGAAATAAATAGAATATGATGAAGATTTAGAAATAAATGATAAAGTATTCAAAAAGAGGTTTTTTATAAGTATATGCTTAGAATATATGGGTAAATCACTTGGAATCAGTAGTAATAAAAAAAATCTTAGTGATTTTTCTATTAGAGGATTTTGTATGTATACATTAAAAGTAAAGCAAAGTACACAACGTCCTGATACATAAAAATATAAATACTTTATTATTTAAACAATACGAAGTTGAGTTGCTGCCTGGTTCTTGTTTGTTTAACTTTTCTGCTAAGTTTTTTTTAATACACATTTATCACAACAATATTAATGCAGAAATATTTGATCGTGCTATTTTATAAATCTTGATTATAGATTAAAAATAATTATTGATAATGCAATATTTAAACATAGATATTTATTATTATTAACTAATAATATACTTACTTTTTATGTTCAACAGATGCAATAAATTCTAATCCATTTTCGTCGTAGCTATAAGATGTAACCCTCCATTCTTTGGTGAGATTATAGGCCTTTAGGTTCTGAAAGTTATACAATATAATATAAAAAACTTGTCTATCTTATATTTTACATAAAAAAATATTATGACAATTAGGATTGGTGTGTCATTTTAAAAGTTAACATTAATTTGCTATGGAAGCACTGATTCAAGAAGTATTAAAAGTCGTAGTATACACAAACACTATTTATAGAAAAATTAAATATGTATATTACTAAAAAATTATTATTATTATGTTACCTCATCCACTATGCAGAACTGGTGAGCGTTGACGGTAACATTTTGATTTTTCAAAATATCAATAATTTGTTCTGACGCACCCTTGAACATTTTACTGCTTCTATAATCTGTAAAAGATGACGAATACGATAAAAAAAATATACGGGAATGTATAGATGGTTAGCTATTGGAAAATAAAAAATTAAGGTATTAGTCTTGTGGAAATAGTTTAAAATATTTTAATAGAAAATAATAATAACTTTATAGGTAAATCTCATTTTGTTTGTGTAAATTTAATTGTATAATTAAGAAAATGATTTAGAGACTCTGTTGAGAGGTAACTGGAATCTCGTTTATATTGGTTAATTTTTACAAATACTCTTTTGAGGAATCGAGTGGAACTATTATCAAATTTAGCGAGCAAACTGAGTGTACGGGCGAATTTGTGTTTAGACACTACGATACATCCCAATTCAATAAATAGAAATATGTTATCTTCATTGTGGTCTTCAGTTCATACGTCATAAAACCTTGTTAATGTCTAATGTCTATATCGAATATAGACGGTTCAGTTGGCGCTTAAAAGTTAATTTAAACTGAGAAAGTAAATTACATTCCCTACTAATATTATAAATGCGAAAGTAACTCTGTCTGTCTGTTACTTTTTCACGCTTAAACCACTGAACTGATTTTAATGAAATTTGGTACAGAGATAGAGTTGACTTTGAGAAAGAACGTAGGATAGTTTTTATCCCAGGCTTTTGACAGATTCCCTTGGAAACGCGATATAATCGAACTCCATGCGGGCGAAGCTGGTTGATACCTACCTTTAAACAGTTTTACATTACTCACCTGCTTCGAAATGTAAATGATCGTTTTGATAGGAATAACATCTTTTTCTATTCTCCTTTTCACCACGACCAGAAGCCAAAATTATAAGGAGTTCGAAACCCAAACAAGTTCCGAAAATGGGGAAATAATTGCCAGCCTCATTCAGTTCCATAGCAATCTCGTAAATCATTTGGCCTGCGTCTGCATATCCATTGGACTGATTGAAATACGTAGCACCCCCTGGAAAAAGTACCCTAAAATATGCATTACCAGCCATTAGATACATTTCTTCTTCTTGTACCTGGCAATTTCCCGGCTATAGCCAGGGTCAGCCTTACATGTTGTGAATAGTTTTATCTAATTGTTTTTACGACCGGTTGCCTGCCTGAAATCAACCCTCTTTTGCCATTAGATACATTTATTTGGTCTAATCAATTACGTCCCCTGATTTATTTTTTGTTTTCCAGCAAAACAAATAGACTGCATATGCATTTTTCAAGGAATATATTAGCTTTTGAGCAAATTTACTTAGATAGAAGGATGTCATATTTAGGTGTTTTCTGTGTACAACAATAAAAAAAAATATGAAAATATTTTAAAATAAAAGCTCAACTAATAATATAACTACCCAATAAAGATCAGAAATGAATGTTTTGATTGCTCCCACTTTAAACTTTTACCTTCTATTCAACATCAAAATTTTATCTCAACATTTTTCTAAATTTTTTACTATTAATCTAAGAATTCGAGTTACTGAAATATTTACCCGTTAATTTTTCCCATTAGTTCAGCATAATAACTGCGATCCTTTCCGATCCTGTAATTATAGAAGACATAATTAAATCAACTAAAAATATTAAGTATAAGATGTAATTAAGCACATCAAATAAGTCGTATCAAAATGCCAATGGCTACAGTTCTCAGAACACTTTTTAAGGAAAATTTGAGAAACGAGAGAAAAATACAAGCCAGGATCCAAAATTTCCGGGACATAATTTAAAATTCTATACACTCAAAAATATTAGTGGATTATTTAATTTAAATCTTTAATGATGAATTAGTGCCTTTTGTGAATTTTATTTGTAGTCACCAAAATTCTGGTCATTGTTTTGAAGTCAAAACCATAATTCTAAGCCAATGAGCAGATATGAATTTCTACAAGGAGTTAAATCCCAATGTAGCTTAATCACAACATTCTAAGTTTTACCATCGGAGGAACTCTTATTTGTTTAAATGAAATGAGAAAAAAATAATACGGAAAAGTGACTCCCATGACCAAAAAAGAAAATACAATTGATAAAAATTAGCAATTGATTGAAGTTCAAAGTTCAAATCTGAAATATAATGGAATAGCTGTTCCAAAGAAAGAATTCACGCGATTATTACTTATAAATTTATATTCTTCATCAAGTTTTGCATAAGGTAATTTCACATCAAGTGTGGAGGTGCGATGAAATTAGATTTTGCGTCAACAGAGACTTGTAAAGAGAAATGGATCGTACCTACAACTGAACTATCTAAATCGTAATCTTTGACTCAAAGTTTATCTTTCCCGGCGTCCAATAAGAATCAGACAATAGCAAGCAATTAGATACACATTGTAATAACGGGGTATAAAGGTGTCGGCAGTACACATATATATATACCGCCTATATCACACCCTTAAAACTGCTCATTTTCACAGCCCGGTCAATTACCCGACAAACCCAATCAGGTGCCCATCCCTACTAATATTATAAATGCGAAAGTAACTCTGTCTGTGTGTCCGTCTGTTACGCTTTCACGCCTAAACCACTGAATTGATTTTAATGAAATTTGGTACAGAGATAGAGTTGACCATGAGAAATAATATAGGATAGTTTTTATCCCAGACCAGCTGTTTTATAGAACTCATTGTAAGCAATAAGAAATATTTATTCTATATATGAATTTTATTTCATACTTTCTACTCGCTACTAAGTTTCACCGAAATTAAGAAGATGGACGAAAACCAAATTTTAAAAGTGCAAACGAACCTACACCTCCCACGGATCTCATTGTAACAAATACTTTGAATTGATAACTATTTATTTACTGATCATTATCAGTAGGTAGGTATCACAGAAACACATAAAATCAATCAAGTAGTGAACTGTACAGATATATAGATAACAGATAACATGACTTCGCGTTTAGATTAATATGCATGATAAAAAAAATAACAGTATCTATATCTATATTTCTCATTACATATTTACTTTCTTTTAGAAATTTTCTTTTATGTTAGCCGAAATATATTTTGATTAACACATTTTTTTGTACGTACACATAAAACAGATAGGTAAATAGACACTTATATATGAAAGAATTATGATAATTTACACATATATTTAACTCACAGAATCGGCACAACTCTAGCCCCTGCTGCTTCAACACTCTTAACGTAAGACGCTGCTATATAACTTGTATAATTTTCTTCAGGAAATTTCGTGTGAAGATATAATGACTGTTCTTGGGACAGAACACCAATTATGGGACGTTCATTTAGGACATCATTCGTTCTAACTACAACAGCTCCTTTGCAATACATGCAGCACGCCACGAGTAATAGTAAGACGCCTTTCATTATAGCAAATTCTAAGCTATTACTCAATGAAACACTCAGCCTGAAAAAAAAACAGTTATCATCCTTATATATTGTATCCTTATCTAGGCATACACTTAAATTAAATACCGCGTCTAAACTCTTATTTTAACACTAACCAAATTATAATAATATTTGTAGCATCATTTAACAAACAAATCGCAACGCACTGAACTATTTTAGTTCTATGAACTTTCGTCTGTTCCTCTGAGACTAAAAATAAAAATAACACGCGTTGAATGAGTTATATTCAATTATTAGTAGCTATGTTATTGATATTTATATTTTGTGATAAATCATTTTATTTTAAAAACTTTTTCGCTAACTATTTATTTTACTATCATTATGAACAAACAATATTTTTTATACATATATTTTGCATTAAACGCTGAGATAAGATGTGTTAATCGTGTTTTCGATGGAGGTTCAAGATAAAAAAGTTTGTATAGTCACACAGAAAAAAAAATTACATACTAAAATAGCAATGAAGTTTGAAAATGGCGATGAAGAAATGTCAATATGTAAAAAAGAGCATACCTTGACAGCTATAAGCTGTCAGAAACTGTGTGTTAATTATGTTTTCCCATAACACTTTCGTCATATTTAACTTTATGCGTAAATATTTTTTAATATTCTGTATAAACATTTTTATAAACTGACTGCGACTATACAGATAACAATCGATAGCCATCTAAAGAGCGCATGCGTGATAAGGTACACAGGGCAACTCAGATTACATCATACAACTTGTATTTTGAAAATAACATTTGTATCTACTCTATGTAAGAGGAACATTATAGCGAAGTAAAGTTATAAAAAGGTAATTTTATAATTCAGATTAAATTAGACAATAGTTATGTTTAACATTACTAGTATTTTTGAAATAAATAATATTTAATAATAATCAACGCCGACATCCCTGACTATCCATGAAAAAATGCATCGACTCTATAAGAAGTTTAAAATTTAATTCTTGTCAAGCCAGAGAATCCAGCGATTGTTTATCCCAAATTATCAATTTAATTATGATTTCATATTTATTAACTTTAATCGCCATGTTAAATAAGGTTCGTCTTTTAATATAATTTCTATATGTTATAATTCGTTCACTATAAACACTATAAGTTATAAGGAAGAAAATATTAAATATAATAAAATATTATAAACTTTGCCATGTTTAACAAATTTGCCAATACTAAAGGCTTGGGAATTTAAGACTACCTAGGTATAAAATATTTAAGCGAACAAAACAATCGTCGAATCTCAAGTATAGAAAACTTAATTATTACAAGGACGAGTATAATTTCAACGTCAATCCATTTAAGAGTTAAATTCGGCTTTAGGTACACAGGAAGCCTCCTGAAAATCAACTTACCTGCATTCAGACTATTTTATACTTTTCATTTTGAAAACCAATTGAAAACCAATTAGTATATTGTGTGAAATATTTGAAAACGTCAATTCATCTATCCCAAAAATTTGTATTTATAACGGCATCAAACTAAGAATGGAAGCTAAAAGAATATATATACTAGAAGACCCGGCGAACTTCGTATCGCCCTATAGTCAAGAAATATCTGTTACGTTTTTTTATTTATATTTTTGGAGTTTACCGATTAAAGCCATAAATCTCCGTGTTTTGAAGTGCGACAGAATGATTGACAAATTAGTTAGTTGTCAAATCTAATGTCAAAAAAAACGTTTGTATCAACAACTACTAATAAATTAAAAATTAATTAAAAAAAATCATTTTCCAGCGGACAAAATTGTGAATCAAAACCATACCCAGATCCCCTTGAACACACACAAAAAATTTCATCAAAATCGGTCCAGTCGTTTAAGAGAAGTTCAGCGACATACACACTCATAAAAGAATTATATATATAAAGATTTGTTAATTATTATTACAAAAGTAGATACTCACGACTTTCTTTAAAAAAAACGGCAGCGAGTAAAATAATATCGTTATCAATCTTGTTACAAATAGTGACGGAGCCATCAAAGGTCAATGTTCACCATGTATTTACATACACAGGGGAGAAAACCTGAAATTGACAATTAATATCATGTTTTAATTCATAATAGACAACGGATAATTATATAATAATTTGAATATGTAATATCATTTACACAAAAAAATTTAAGTTTATATGAAAGAACCGTTTTATACAGCTCCCATGTAATTATGATAGACTACAATGTATACTTAGACTTATTTTCAATTAACTAAAATTGCAGTATGCTTACCACATGTTTGTATTAACGTACTACTTAGAAGCGTTTACACTTTTTCATTCATAAATATTCACATACACATAGTGATGACAAATCGAAAACAATTCGTAAATAGTGTGATTATGCAAACTTTTACTAAGCATTAATATTGCTCGTGAAGCCAGTTTATATTAAAAGTTAGCAACTATTCAAAACAAAAAAATAAGAAAATGTAGGTACCTCATGACAGTTAACACTTTTCCTCGTATGAAAGATAGTAGGTAAAGCGATGCAATCGAAAGTTAAAGAGCACTTTCTATTGACAATAAAGACAACACTAAATTATATTAATCCATGCAACTCCTTATATAATTCTACTATTCTACGATTTGAATTTAAAACAAAAAATACATGTTTATTTTTTATGTCACAAATGTCAGCTGATTGAAACTGGTTCATAGTCTCACTATTATACCCCACTGGGGTTATTTCCCCATCCTATTAAATTTTAATGACTACCCTCAGTGCCAGGTCCTTATTGTAACATAAATGGGAAAGTTAAATTAAATTAATTATTGTAAATAGGTGTATCAACATAACGTAGTTTAGGAGAACAAATATTAAAATAAAATAAAAATTAATACCTCTAATTCAAATCCTTAAATCTTGGATGATTAAATTGTTCATCATTAAATGGGAATAACGTGGCATAGCAATGCAAATAACAGAGTACATTGAAGTCAATACGCTACCTAATTTCAAAAAGGAGTGAAAACAAAAGTTTCAATTATATGTTTGTAAATTGACCTTTAAACATATAAATTGTATTGATATTTCTTTAAGCTTACAATATATTACTAATACAAAATTATACATCCAATAAGATTAGATTTATACAAGAATGATTTCTTATTAAATTGATTTTCAAGTTAATTTTCTTCCCTAATGATACTGACAGATAACAGAAAAAATGTAAAACAATCTAGGTACCTTTAATACATATTAATATAATAAGTTTTTTAATAACACCCTACATTTAAATTTTAATAAACAATGAAAAAGACACTTAAACTCAGTGTTAAGAAATGACGCAAATGTCAGAATTTATAATTTACCCAAAAGAAAATTAAGAAAATTAAGTGATAGAAAGTAGATTAAGAATCAATCAATAACAACTAGTTTATATCTTGAAAATAACCTCACCCTATTTCACGTTAAAACATATTTTTTATCTATGTGATTTGCAAAGGCAACACTGTAGATTCGTCGTCAAAAAAGAAAAATGCCGCTGCAAAAAAGAAACGTAATGATAAAGGTATTTTGAGGATAGTTAATTTTGAAGTATTAAATTTCTTTTCCGTGAGCACTATGTGAAAATGTGATACAGTAATACATGATATATTCAATTAATTAAGTTTGTATTATGTGAAACAGAAATACATTGTGTTCTAGGTTGGTTTCCTGCGTTGACAAGAGAATTCCCGTATTTTCTTTTAGAGTGAAGTTTATTATAGCGAAATGTTTGAAATGGTAAGGCAGATGTGATCTGATGGAGTGATAAATTTATAATTCATGGCTTACAAGCAAATTGTGGCCATATGTAGTGCGTTCATTTACTTTGTTCTTTCATTTTAGAATACGGCGGAGCCTATGCAAGTGGACGTTCCCCTTGAAGATAACGAGAACAATGAAACGGAATGCTATGTTGTTGATAATCCTACTTTGGACTTAGAGACTTACGCTGCGTCCTACACTGGCTTTGCTAAATTGTACAGATTAATGTTTGTAGCAGATCATTGTCCATCATTGAGATTAGAAGCTCTAAAAATGGCTATATCCTATGTCATGACCACCTATAATGTAAGTCTTTATCAAACACTTCACAAAAAGCTTGCTGAAGCTGTAGCAACTGTAGGTCTACCAGATGTTGCAGTACAGATGGGTTCACAGGATATTCCTGTGCTTGATTCTATGTGGGTAGAATCTAAAACCAAAAAGGCTGCCATCAAGTTGGAAAAATTAGATACTGACCTTAAAAATTATAAAACTAATTCTATTAAGGAGAGCATAAGACGGGGCCATGATGACCTCGGTGATCATTACTTGGATTGCGGAGATCTCACTAGCGCTCTCAAATGTTACTCTAGGGCTAGAGATTATTGCACAAGCGGCAAACATATAATAATGATGTGCCTCAATGTAGTTAAAGTTTCAGTGTATTTGCAAAACTGGGCTCATGTTTTGAATTATGTATCAAAGGCTGAAGGGACTCCAGATTTTAATGAAGTTCCAGGAAAAGATTCAAACCAATCCATATTAACCCGTTTAAAATGTGCCGCCGGGTTAGCAGAATTGGCTACCAAAAAGTATAAATCGGCTGCAAAACATTTCCTAGCAGCCAGCATTGATCATTGCGACTATCCAGAATTGCTCAGCAGTAACAATGTAGCAGTCTATGGCGGGCTCTGTGCATTAGCAACATTTGATCGCTCCGAACTTCAGAAACAAGTTATAGTTAGCAGTTCTTTTAAATTATTCTTAGAACTAGAACCACAATTACGAGACATAATTTTTAAATTTTATGAATCAAAGTACGCTTCTTGCTTAAGGTTACTGGACGAAATCCGAGACAATCTTCTGCTTGATATGTATTTGGCACCACATTTAAATTCTTTGTATATGCAAATTCGTAACCGAGCCTTAATTCAATACTTCAGTCCATATCTTTCTGCCGATATGCATCTTATGGCAGCTGCGTTTAACCGTACAGTGAATGCTCTAGAGGATGAGCTTATGCAACTAATTCTTGATGGACAAATACAAGCACGTATTGATTCTCATAATAAAATACTCTATGCTAAGGATGTTGATCAAAGGAGCACTACTTTTGAGAGAAGTCTAGCAATGGGGAAAGAATACCAGAGAAGAACATCTATGTTAATCCTCCGTGCTGCTTTGCTCAAAAATCACATTCATGTTAAGGTACATTAATTTTATTAATAATTTTCTTCTTATATGTATTTTTCAAAATCCCCTCTAATAAGAGCTCTAACTAATATGAATCAAGATTTACTTAATATGTAATTCTGGGGTCTAATTCTAAATGTTATTAAATTTATTAATGTCGTCAAAATTTTGGATTTCTGGATATCTACAAATATTAAAATTCTATGTAGGTTTCTAAGTTAATTTAAGGATGTTACTTTATTTGAATTTTAATAACAAATTTTGATTTGAAAGAACAAGTACAGTCCATTATATTTGACTCTATAAGTACCTATATAAAACTATGAAAAGAACATTCCCTAATATTTTTTATTTAAACTAATTATTGTTGTTTTAATTTCAGATTGTCGGCCGCGAGCCTGGTCCGCAGAGTGGCGAAGCGCCCGGCTCCAGCACCAGTCTAGCAATCCGCAGTTACGAGACAGTGCCCTTGTGATGAATTACTATTTAAGAAAAATAAACTTTAACCTTACATGGCAGATTAAATGTCGTTAAGCAGTAAAAGAACATTATTTTACGAACTACCTTAACCTGCTAAATCATTTATTTTGTCATGTATTTTTTTATTTTTTCAAAAAACACTTTTGTATAATGATTAACAACTGCTTTTGGTTTTCGTTCAATTCAAAGGTAGGTCTGTGGTCATAATTCCAGATGATGATGATGTTGTCTAAAGAATGTTTTGTTTGAAGTGCTGATACAAACATTAATCGCAACATTGTTTATACAGAATTATTCTATGTAACCACAAAATATTATGTCTACGTAATTTTTAATAATATTAAAAAAGTGAATTAATTGAAGCGTTTTTTTTTTTTACAACCCTAATGTGAACGTGATTTTTGATTTGAATTTTCTATGAAACATATATGAAGGTGTAATTTTCTATTGTGGAAACCAATCAAAATTGTATTCCAAGTCTGATTGACGGTTGATTTTATTATCTCCATGGCTCTATTAAATTCAAAAATTCTACAAGTATCAAATCGACTTCATAGATAACTTTTTCAAAGAATATCAACACTCGCACACACAATCCTTAAATGGTTAGTTGTTACTTGTTGCTCAAGCATAGAAGTATAACTGATAATTAAGTATCACGTCATACTCGAAATAAATACTAGTTCTTACATTTATTCTTTGAGACCGTTATAGACTTTATTATGAAAATAACTTTAATCAATATTTAATTAATTTATAGACTACTGTTTAGTGAAAATATATATACATATGTATATTATTTCGGCGATAAAACTGGACGGTTTATTCTAATTCTATTTGAAGTTTATCACATACGCGACGTCTATAGAAAATACACTTAGCTTTTAATCTACATTATAAGCAATCATAAGGGTATTCCTTTAAAGTGTAAACATATCCTCCTTTGATTATGAGTATATAATTTAAGGTTAAATAGGCAAATAAAATTTTTTGTTAATGTTTGTTTTGTTTATTACTATACTTAAAATACATATAAATAATTCATATATTCATTTGTATCTTCAAAATATAAAGCATGTCTCCACACACAGATAATATATATAATTGTAAGGAATAAAAACAATTACTGTACATTTTTGTAAAATTCTATATATTATATATATAGATCAACTGTTTATAAAATATGCTTAACAATTATTATTTTTTATTTCACATTAGTAATTAATAATTATCCTTTTCATTGCAAGTTGTATGTTGGAAACATGAAGGACAACTGCCACTTGCAACACCAAATGCAGGAATACGACCACCTTCACAAGCAACTAGCCACTGGAACAAGAATTAGATATTGAATATTCAATATACTGGGAATAGATATAATCTTACTACTATAAATATAATAAAAAATATTATTTTTACCTCATCTTAAATTCTTAGAGTGGATGTATATTATTAAGGACATAAATTTCATCAAGACTTAATCCAATACAAATACTTAATCCAACAACATTAAAATGCTGTTAAAATATATAGAAAGGGTAACAAGTTTAATAAAACTACATTATTCCTTTAGAGATAATTTTAAAATACAAATGGACTTTACCATATGAATTATCTACTAAATTGCTGGTTGAAGGTTTTAAATGTAATAAAAAAGTTAACCTATAGCACAAATTTCTTATCAAAATATAATAATTGAAGAAAATACCTGATACAAGCAACTTCTGTGATAATATGCTTCACACTTTGAATTTTGACATATTGGTTGAGGTACTCCGGGACAATCTGGTAGTTCAACACAAAAACATATACAGCACGACGGTGACTCTTCTTCTTCTTTACCTTCTAAAACTTCAATATCCCAGCTATCAGCAATCTTTGTAACATCTCCTATATACACAAAAAGTAATTAAAAATTTGTTCAATTTCGTAAGTAATAACACATTTTTTTATTAATTCACTTGGTATAACTAAATCTGTTATTTAAATCACTTAAGTTACTTATATATCTTACCAAATAAGGAATGTATATTCTCTACAATATTCTTGTCATGATCCCAATTTAACAAAAAGTCTTTAACTTTATCTTGTCCTATTTCAGAATTTCCAACAATGTGCACATTTCTTGGTCTGCCGTCACAACTTACTTCTATATGCAGCCATGTTTTGTTATCCACCTGGAAGGAGTGAGAAAATGATGTCAATAAATTGAAAAATATCTGATAAATAGTTATAGATTTTCATGTTTGAATTAAGTAGCTTACTTTTACTTAAACTTTCAAAGCCAATTAGAGATATCATGTTTTTAAAATCTACATTCTTATCTGGCCTTATTAAAATATATAAACCTAATAATAATAAGCAATTCAAGTAGTATTAACAAAAGTTCCACTACTTGCAAGAGACATTATGAACTGTCAAAAGATTTAACCAAACAAGCACAAATTTTTTAATAAAGATTAAAATGAAGCTAGGGACCAAATATTAAAAACAATCTATATAATGACAAATTATACTTACTAAAATTTTCCTATAGTCGTCTTTGAAGGTTGGCTTAACAGGATCCCTGACCTTACACATTAGATCTATATTTTCTAATTCACGGAAATATTCAGCTAAACTGTTTACATAGTCCTGAAAAGCGGAAGCGACTTCTGCAATCGACGAGTATTCTCGATCTTGCAAATGAGAATGAGGTAGATTCACGGCAACCACAGCGAGCTTTTGAACACCTTTATATTTCAAATAAATATCGTGTTGTCTAAGATTATGTTCATCACTGATCGTGCATTTGATATCTCTTACAGTTTTTCCAAAACATATGGGTATAGTATTAGATAAGTTTTTGATTTCTTTTATTAAGTTTTTATCAATAAAATCCGAATTAATTGATTCTAACGAATAAAGCGGCTTCTGATTAAAAAAGACCTCTAAAACGTTGAAAAACCCCGATATGGTTTTAGCTTCTTCTATGTGGATGAGATTATGGATATTTACATATTTATTCACTGTATACAAATTCATTGTCTTATTTGGGTAACAATTAAAGGGTTCTTAAACATCAGAATAATATTTTCAAAGAAGTAAACAACCCACCGAATGTCACGAATGTCATCTAAGATGACATGATTCAACGATAACTGATCGTTGAAGTGTTATCGCGAGAAAGAAGATACTTTTTTATTATTATTTTTGTTTCAGTTAATTAAAATTGTTATAACACCGATATTTGTGATTAATATTTCATTATAAAGATTTTATCAATAAAATTTCAAATTACTAAAATCTTATGTCAATCAAAAATGTATAACAATGATATAATTTTATAATAGTGTTCCACTCGTTGGTTTTAAAGTTAAGGCTCCCAAATTATGGATTGAATTGAATTTAAACGGTGTTTAATTTTTTTTACAAGAACAATTTAAAGATATCTGGATTAAATAAATAACAATTTGCAAGCGATTAATGTTAGAAACTGGCAATGTACTTAATGAAACTTAAAAATATTACGAAAGTTATTCTCTTTTTTGAAACCTTTAAACAAATATTTTCAAAACCTTGTATTTTTAAAGAAAAGTTTAAATATTTTATAGCACAAAATTAACTAATTCGTAATACATTCCTACCCAAGCAATGAATATATGACCATGCAATCTATACATTTCGAAACTAAATTGTATTAATATAAACCAAAGGTAGCTTTTAATCTAACAAAACATCCGTATGCCAATGTAGTGAAAAACAAATAACTAGTAGATTTATCACAGTGATTTAGCAATTGACAATGTAACAATACATTTGTTATTGTTAATTATCATAATATCCGATCTAATGGTTTTTGATTTGTGCGCTTACTAAAATATAATATAAATATGTATAAAAATATTAAGCGTCACACTATATGCCGTCGATAATTTTTTTAATAAATCTAATACATTGTCCTAAGAGTGCTGACCTGCAGCTGAAAAAAAATGTAGCAATACTTAAAATTTATGAGTTGTAAAATGATTTCTGTTACTTCTCACTTATATGTTCGATTTTACTTTTATTATTTCATAACGAGAGTGATCTAAAAATGGTGGTGACAAGCATCGTGTTTGAGTTTGACCTGAAATTATTGAGAGTGTCTCTTTTGCGGTTCTAATTTTTTTATGATTGAAGTCTGATTCTAACGTCTAGATTACCCTGAGTTTGGGATCCCATGATCCCGTGTGTATTGGATCGTGGGTAGTTTGAATATTATATCGTTTTATATGATGATAAGTGATAAAATACATAGGCATAGGCACTGTCCGTATTTTTAAGTAGATAGCTAAGCGGATCAATATCCGTATTATAAGTGTTTTAAAGTTAGTACTATCTCTGATAAAATTTTATTCTGAATAATTTATATTGTGCTATATTTCATTAATTTGAATTTTTTGAACTACGTAAACTTTTAACGATGTCGGGAGACCGACGAAAACTAATCGTAGGTATCTGAAACAATAATTTTCACAATACAAAGTTATACAGTTACTCCAGAGACCAGAACCATTGACACGTTAAACAAATTTATATGACTAATATCATAATATTATCGTCTTTAAAGTAATTTCGGAGTCGAAAATAGAAAAGCTGATGTTATGTACTTACCCCAATCGCTATGACTTTCATTCACAACGACGATAATGACTCAAATTTCATCTGGTCATTCTTGTGACACTATATAGCTACATATTGCTATGCACATCTTGTACCTATCATTCCCTGTTTGGTAAAGCTGTTTGTAAAACAAACTTTAACATTATAATGCTATAGATATTTGCAAAGTTCATAAAAATGCCTTATTCTTAAGCACAAATTAGTTCTCTCAAGTTTAAAAAACTTAAATTGGCAAAGATTCAATACGACCAGGAGCATAGAATTCCAAAGTTTTTAGTTCACTTTATAATTAATTCAAAAGTTGTTTTTATATAAATTAATCATATCTTTGAAGCTGTTAGCATTTCTTCTAGTTTGTACGAATTATCATGTAATTATCCAATTTTTAAACCCAACAATTATTGAAAAGCAAATTATTTTTTTTTGATTTTGGAAAGAAAGGGGAAAGAGCAGAAAAGGGTGGGAAAGTGTCAACCGTCCCTTTCACTCATCGGATGAAATGGAACCATTAGAGGAGCTTCTTCACGTCGGTCTTCTATGAGACGGTGGCACTTTCCCTGTTAAGCCAGCCTCTGCTGTAGAAGTAGTAGCTTGATCACAGCTAGCCACAACTATAATAATTAATAAATAATTCTATACACATGCCTTCAAGTTATCCCAGCATGGATCAGTGGTTGCGACATGATGGTTTTAAATATATGAAATGTCGTAATGGTCATATCTATAATAATCTTATCTATTTAAATGAGCAATTCTTGTATATATATTTATATATAATTGGAATCGGCTCCAACGACTATCATGAAATCTATACTAATATTATAAAGCTGAAGAGTTTGTTTGTTTGTTTGAAAGCGCTAATTTCCGAAACTACTGGTTCGAATTGAATAATTCTTTTTGTGTTGGATAGTCCAGTTATCGAGGAAGGCTGTAGGCTATATAACATCACGCTACGACCAATAGGAGCAAAGATATAGTGGTAAATGTGTAAAAAACGGGAGAAATTATTTCATCTTTGAAGCCTTCCGTTGCGTGCGCCGTGAAAACGGTTCCAGATACACAAAAAATATGTGTTAAGGAATAATAGCTCTTTTAATGATCTAAAAAACAGTCCGCGACAGTATATGTCTATCTTTTAAGATTAACTCACAAAAACCGTTTTTATGGTACCTAATTTTGTCGAAATAATTTATTTAAGTTGTATCAAAATAATAACATTAATCTTTATTCATATAAACGAATAAATATGTTGTTAGTTAAGAGAACTTCATTATTAATTAAAAAAACATAGGTTTATCCTGAAAATTCTACGGTAACTCGACTATTCCGAAAACCCCGCAAGAACGGGAACTATGTGGGAAGAACCAAAAATCTGCCGGAAGTAACTATTCCACGCGGACGAAGCCGCGCCAAAAGCTAGTTTAGTATATAGAGGGTTTCGGGGACGATAAATCGGTCTAGCGAGGAATCATTTTTAGAGAATGTTATTTTATTTATAAAAAAAATAACAAAAAGGAATCGTTTTAAATATAACTCTTCCTGACATCTATTGGCGAATGGTAATACTACCTTTCGCTAATTACTTTTACTAATAGCTTAATGACACAACAGCAGATGGCGTTGTTAAATACCAGGAAGTTAATGTTTGTTTTCAGCAAAACTCGATAACCAGATGTTATACTCCATCGGCGTCCTGTAGACTGTAGAACCCAAATAAGTCAAGGTTTTTTTTATTACATTAAATATCTGGAACACACTGTGCTCACGTCATTCAATTGCAAACCTAATATTTCTTAAGGCTCAACTTGCCAACGAGTTTTTTACTCACGGCCTGAAGTAATTATTGTTAGGATAAAGCTTATCACAATTTTAGTTTTCATCAATGAACAAGTTCTAAAGAAATCTACTAAAGTAGTAGATTGAACAAGTCTGAAGTCGTCAACTATTATAAAATGCTCAGATGTTAATTAATCAATGTTCATTGTTTGTTTAACACACTACAATTTTTTGGGTTATACTTATTAAATCTAATATTTTGTAAATGTATTTATTAATACTTGCGTTTTATAGATATTAAAACCGTATTGTCAGTACATTTGAAAATAAAATCATAACACTCAGTAATCTCTTAGTTGGTAGAATATATTCGTTAACCTGCAGCATCTATGATGTACATTATTTGAAAACAGAATTGACCAAAAAAGGCAAATAGTTTTTAAAATTATAATGGGGACAGCTTATATTACAAATGTAAGAAATATAAAGGTAGGTTTGCTGTTAACTTATAAAAACATGCTACAGGTATACCTTTTCTAAGGATCTATAAAATGTATATATTTTTATTTATAAGAGATTTTTTCTAGATGACACTGGCAGAATATACTGTGTATGTCTTTGCACAGATGAAGGCCATATTTAAAACAACTAACCAAAAATGGTATTGAACTGCATATTAATCTATTTGTTAATTAAAATTCTTACATTTTATATCGAAAATATTGTCTTTCAAAACTATAAAAGAATTGAAATTTTTAGGAAAGAATATCTCCAGTCTTAGATTTCAAAACTCTTCTTTACATTATTGAGTTTTAATCTCATTATAATTTGTTTCAACTTAAGATTACAATGCGGATGTCAGAATGTAAATAATATAATGTATTTGCTATCATTGTATCTATATTTACTGCCCGGTAGGCAAAAAATTATCGTCTAACATTTCAGTTTGAGCATACTAACTTAAACTAATACACTACTTGTACATAAAGGAGCATGAAAATTTTCTAACATCAATTGTATTTACATTCAATAGCCATGTGATTTATATAAACACATAAAAAAATACATTCAGATATCAATAAATCATAGTCACACAGATAAAAACTTTTAAATGTATACAAACTACTTCATAAAATCATTTTTTGAACATAGAACATTTTTGTTTACACTATTAGAAAAATCCAAAATTTTAGAAAAGTATATCATAATTTCATTTTTGTTTCAATTTGTTAAAATTAAAATATCATATCAATTACAATATGATATGCTTTGTGCTAAAAATACTGTACAGATCACATAAAAAAGTCATGCTTATGCAAGAATATAAAAATTATTTAATAAATGAAAATTAATATAAAATGTAGTTTTTTCTGTACTTGTCAGTTCAAAATTACAAAATAAAAATATAATATAAAAAATAGTAGTCGAAGAATGTATAAAATTCTAGTTCTTTATGCTTTTTGTTTTTTAATTGACTAGCAATTATCATTTGGGCCTTACAAGCTTCGTCTCTACTTTCAGCATATCATCCCCTTTGTATAATTCTACTTGTAGTAATGAAAATACTTCAATCACTTGTTTAACGGAAGGCAGACTGTCTGTTTCATTCCATGTCAATTCCATTTTGGAAAGTCTTACGCCCGCTTCATTTTTAACACAAAGAAATTCACCTGGGAAGTCCTGAAAAATAAAACATATATAACAGCTGTTTATAGATTTTGATAACTAATATTAACATGAACAGAAACTAATTACATATAAAACTTACGTTATTGAAGAAGATTCGTCGATTTAATCCCATAGCTGTTATTATAACATCAATGTACTTCTCCTTAACATCAACAACGACGGCTTCTGTTGTAACTGGTGAGTTAATTTCTATGTACTTCAAAGTGTAGAGCTCTGTGGACATTTCACCGGCCCTCTTAGCATTGTACTTCTGTTTGTTACAATTGGCAGCCACCATTCTGACCTTATCAACTTCCCAAGTAGGAACTTTGGTGTAGTTAAGACTTGCTGATAACAACCTGAAATATTTACAATTAATTTAATACCAAAAATATTTTAATTACAATATGCATTGTATAATGATCATTATTGTAATAAATACCTATGAACCATGATATCTGCGTAGCGCCGTATCGGACTAGTGAAGTGAGTATACAATGGTACATTAAGAGCGTAGTGATGGAAATCGTCATCACCACATGCAGCTGCACAAAAATACTTTGCTCTGGTCATCGGTTTCGTGCACAACATGTTAAGAACCATGGCTTTTCCTTTATCTAAACTGTTTTGATCTAAATAATCTGTTAGGGATCTATGAAGATTGCCCGCTGATGAAATATCAATATCAATACCCAACGGTTTTAAGGAGTTTTCAAGTTGTTTCAGCAAATAAGTGCTAGGTGCAGGATGACACCTTAAAAATGCTAATTTTGGGTGGTCATCATGAATTCTCTTGGCAACTGTCATATTAGCAAGTAACATAAATTCTTCTATCAACTGATGGCTCTCCTTACTTTCGTAAATCCAGAAAGAATCGGGCATCCCGTTAGCTGCACTTAAATGAAATGCAATCTTAGGCTGATCAATACGTAAAGCACCATTATCAAAGCGTCTTCTTCTAAATATTGCTGACAATTTTCCAAGAATCTTTATAGTTTCAGAAATATCTTTGTATGTAAATCCATTGTAAATTTCAGGAAATGACTTTTCTGCATCCTCTTTCCCATCCAGCACAGCTTGTGCATGGTCATATGATAATTGACAACATGAATGGATAACAGTCCTGGAAAATCTATGATTCATAACAGCACCGTCATCAGTAATTTCCCAAAATACAGAAAATGCAAGTTTATCAACACCAGGAAACAGAGAACATAACATACATAGCTCATCTGGCAACATGTGATAAGCCCTTTCAACCATATAAATAGTTGTTGCCTTTTCAGACACTTTTTCATCCAATAAAGTGCCTTCATGAAGGAAGTAAGAAACATCAGATATATGAACGCCTATCTCATAGTTTCCATTGGCAAGTTTCCTGCATGACACAGCATCATCTATATCACGAGTATTACTGGGATCTATACTAAAAATGCATAAATGTCTGCAGTCTTCTCTAGATTTTATTTCTTCTTCAGGAATAGTGAAATCCAAACGTGGATATAAATGCCGGACATCTTCACCAAATGGTGTGATATCTAAATCATTTTGCGCTAAAATTGCTTTAGTTTCTGTCTGCATATCTCCCGACTGACCAATATTACAAATTAGTTTTCCAAGAGCAAACCTTACATCGAACCAATCAAAAATACTAGCAAGAAAGAGTGTGTTTTCATAACTCTTAGATTCTTGGTAAAAATTATCTGGCCAACTTGTAAATGGTATATTAAGTCTTGGTATCCTGTAATCTCTAGGGACAAAGAGAGCTCTTTGTCTACTCTTATCCGGCATCAGTTTTAAATAACCAATACATTTTCTTGTATGTATTTTCTCTTTGATGAACACGACTCTTCCTTTTTTTTGTTTACTACTGCTATCAGAATTATTGATCTTTTCACTATCCTCGTCATCACTCTCAATAACTTGTACAACAACAATATCACCTTCTAATGCTCGGTTCCTATTTTTTACACCTTCAATAAGAATATCCTGTTCATTGCGGTCCATACTTGAAACATATGAGTTTTGGAATTGTTTTGGGTTTATTTTCAATACACCTTCTATTAAACTGTTATTTTTTAATCCTTCCATTACGTCCTCTTTACTCAAATAGGAATCAAATATTCTGTCGGCTCCATTCTGGTCCTTCTTCTGTTGCTTATTCTGTTTTGGTGAATTATTTAATTCTTTTTTATTATATGTATTTGTACCTGCCTTTTCAAGTGCTCTGTGAAATGCATTTTGTTTCTGGTTTGTATGGACATGATTTAAATATTCCTTTGACAAAAGAGGGTGTTGCATCGCATTGTGTAAGTAGTGCCCAAGATTGTTTGGTCGTGAAGGTGTATTTGGGACACTACCAAAAAATTGGCTGTTTTGAAATTGAAACATTTCTCTCAAACGCATACTATGCATTAAATGATATTGCGGATGGTGGATGAGATTCTCAAGATATCGTGCACTTGTATTCGCATACAGCTGTGTGACATGTTTATTAAAATATTCGTGAACTGAATTGCCGCCATTGTGTGAGTAGGCTGGAGGTGCAGTTTGAACGGTTGGAGGCGAATATGCATTAACTGATGGCATTTGTATATGCAAGTCTTTCAACTTTTCTTTTTTCTTTGCATTTTTCTTTTTAACAGAATTCCCGCTAGAATTTTGACAAACATTTTGAACTCTGTCATCGTTAATACAAATTTTCTCGCATTGTTCTGAAATGCCATCTACTACGGTTTGGTCCAAATTGCAACGAGAAGTGGAAGGTGCAGCTTCATCCTGAGGAGCTTTGTTGCAATGCGATTCTTGGAGCGTCGTTGATTGTGACGTGGAGGATTCATCTTTATTTTGAATCTTTGGATTGGTCACAAATTTAGACATAATGGTAATGAATGTTACTGAATTACTTTACACGAACATAATTTAAAAAAATTGACGCAACAAAAAATCGCTATATCAAGACAATAGAAAGTATAAATATTGATAATAATTAAACGCAACTTATTTGTGTTATGCTACATGTTTGCAACGAAGCATTCACTGCAGTGCCAACATTGGAAAGTAAATATAAAAGAAATGTAGATAATGATATCGTTTTTCTATATAGATGAAACTTTTTTTTCTTTAAAAATAAAATATTAACTTTAAAGTGTTATATTGTAAGATAAAGAACTTGCTTTTAGTGTATTTATTTCAGAATTTTAAAAAATCATTAAAGATTTTCAATCTAAAATTTACAAAAAACATTAAAGTAAGTGAAGTATGTTTAAAAAAAAATGGATTTAAATTATATTATAGCGATGTTAATCCAACTTACAATAACGAAATTAACAAAATTTACCATCAGTAAAGTAAGTCATCAGATCAGTTGTGACAAATGCTCTGAGATGTGACATTTGTCAGTCTTGACAATTTTGGTTTTCTGGATATTAATACTGCGGTATTAAGTACATGCGGTTACTATAACATAATTTGGCTAAGTGATAAACATATATAAGAAAATTATCTAAGGATTTATATGACATGTTTATGGGTTCCCATGTGTCCGTAGGTGTATTTGGATCGTTATTGTCCTGTAAATCGATTGAGTAATTATAAATAAAACAATTGTTTTTATGACTAAAAATGAAGCTTATCACACATAATATGCTTACTTCGAAATGTTTAAAAGGTGTCGTAACCGGTTATCCCCTTGCCATTCATGCTACAGATGTCAAAATAAATGAAGTGGATTTTAACCCCGAATTCGTGACCAGGATAATACCTAAATTAGATTGGGAAGTTCTCTGGAAAGCTGCGCAAAGTATAGGTCACGGTGAAGGTTTACCGCAAGTTATACAGCCGAAATATGAAGAAGATTCTGAATTCTTGAAGAAGGCACATAGAGTTTTATTAGAAGTTGAAGTAGAAGAAGGCTACCTCACCTGTCCTGAATCAGGAAGACAATTTCCAATAACCAAAGGCATCCCAAACATGTTACTCACTGAAGCAGAAGTGCAATAAAGAAATTTCAAAGTAAATAAATCTATTTGTTTATAGCCTGCTTCTCTTACATTGAAACACTTATTTTAAACCCTTAGTTTTAATCAATGGAATATACTATTTTAAATATTATTTATGTATATGAAAACATATTAAGTATTTTTTGAATAGTGAACAAATTCAATATAAAACAATTTTCATTTTGTTTAAGTGTTACATTTAATATGTTATGTAAGCTTAACATTCAAATTTACTTCCAATAATTTCATATATCCCTACTCCATTTCATCCAAATAAAAAGACAAAAAGAGGTATAAATTACCATTGTTTGAAAAGGAAACTAAAAATGCCAAGAGAATTGGAAATAAACAGATTTATTACAACAATAAATTACAATAAATGAATGTTCTATGTTATATTAATTGCAATTGAATTAATACATTCAACATTTTCTAATAATCTTTATGTTTAAACTGTATGGCTTATAGTTCATCGACATAAGGTACAAATGCGAGGTTCCCTGCTGCTCCCATGGAAACCTTGTTTTTGACAACGCTGGCAAGTACCTGGAAAACAGAGATATTTTTTACGATAGAATCTATATACATTATATGAGTTATAATGGCCATAGTGACCAGTTGCTGAGATGTTTCAAATAGTCTTTAACGTAAAAATATATCATATAGTATACATAGTTATTATTGATAACTGTTTAAATTCATTAAATTTATAGAAAAACAGAAAAATATATTATTGTATGAAAACAAATGTATTTTCGAAGCTTTAAAAGAACATTATGATGTTGTAGTGATTAATTGGTGTATAGATATAAAATTACCTGTGAAACATCACTAGAAGACAGTTGGTCAATGTCTTTAGCAATGTCTAATGGTGATTTAGCTGAGCCTGTATACAATCCTTGGACGGCTAGCAATTCAGATAGTGAAACTCCACTTTCTGCCTCAGACAGCACTTGCAATTTAAGTTGGTTTTTGCCGGCTTTGATGGCATCAGCACTAAGGTTGGGATTCTTAAGCAGTTTCGCAGCAGCTTTAAGGGCCTGAAAGTACCATGTTTTTATTAACCTGTATTTTAATTGTATAGGGTTGTCAAGTAATATTTTCATATACAGGATGACTGGTGAATTACTATCAATATTTAAGGAGAATACTCGGTACATGATTCTCATTCAAATTATGTAAAAAAAATAGGTACTTAATTTTTGACTAAATTTCCATATAAATAAATAAAGTGTGGACACGTTCCAAGTATTCCAAGTGTGGACGCGTGCGGCGGCGTGGTGTTGTATCAGCACGCCGCCGCACGTGTGTGTGTGTGTATACCTAATCTGTAGGGTGTTAACACGATGCGTAATTAATTACATAACTTTTGGTTAACTTTACTTAGAAGTTTATTAATATTTATGTTATATTAATTTTTATTTTGTCATATATGATCGCCAAATATTACGTCCTCAAGTATCGATAGTAATTCACCAGTCACCCTGTATATAAAACAACAGATTTTTTATAAAGTCAAATTGAAGTTCTTACAGCATTTGCTTCATCCTTGGGTACAGACAGCACAATTCCAAATAGACCACTGTCGGAATAGGATACATTGAATCCTGCAGCAGCAAATGGACCAATGTTACCAATAGCCTTAGCAAGAGGAGTATTGTCAGCACCCCATTTTGTTACTGGTCCATTGCCAAGAGCTGTAAAAAGAAAAGTAATACTATTACTTCTATCCTTAATGAAAGAATATATGTATAACTCAATTTTTCTTACTTAGAAATATATATTACTGTGTGTAGTATTTTTTTAAATTATTTATTTATATACTCTTTATTGCACACCAATATAGACAAAAGTAATAGGAGTAAAACAAAGAAAAGAAAAATGTACAAATAGGCGGCCTTATCGCTAAAACAGCGATCATTACTTAATCTTTTTAGTTGATATTACTTAAATATTTACCTAATCTTTTTGGTTGATATTGAAGTGTAAGAATGTTAAGGTTTACCTTTAGCAGCCACAGCTAGAGCCAGGCTTTGTGGTGAACCGGCAGATGCTCCGGGAACAGCTAATGCCACATGAGCTAAATCTCCGCCCATTTCTTTTCTAAAATTGATAAAAAATATAAACTTAAAATTTTATACAAACAAATTTCATGTATTGTGTTATACACATACCTTAATTCACCACCACAGTAAGTCGAAGCATTGCTCTGAGCATCACCACTAGCTGGAAGTTGAAGAGCTTGAGCTACTAGTGCAGCAGTGTCCTAAATGAAGGAAAATAAAATATTTACTATGAAAATTAAATATAAATTTATATACAGAAAAAAATGTCTACTTATGAGTTAATAACAAATAAAGCAGCATAATCTAGGCTTTATGTTTAAATACAATACAATATCTCATTATAATGATTTATTTATATGTAAACTAAATTTATACCTCAGTATTAGTCTTAAAACCAATATAAGTAACTGTTAATTGATATAAAATACCTGGGAACCTCCAACAATGGATACAGCACAGCGGCCAGGAGTAAGGGTGGTAGAAGCAAAATGTTGCAAAGATTCAGAACTGATTTTTCCAATCTTCTTCGGGGAAATGAAGAGGGAGTTACCAAGTCCACGACGAAAAGCAGCCTTGTGTAGCAAATCTACAGCACGGACCTAGAACATTTATATCATTTGTTTTTAAATCATACTTTTTTGGTTTAGTGATAAAACTGACAAATTAAAATTAAAATTTAATTAAAATTTGTGATAAAATACTTACTTGAGGTGAAAGTGATAGTATGTCGAACTTCAAGCGAGAAACATTGTCGCTCAATTCCCACGGTCTGAACTCTTGGTTGGACACAATATTGTTCAAGTACACCAAAGCTTCTTGCAAGTTTTCTTGTGAAGCCTATGGAAGAGTAAATTATAAGTAAATAATGCATACATTTTCATCCTTTAATAAATAATAAACAAAAATAAATAGATGACTACTTATTGCAGAGGTTTAGAATCATTTTTTTTTTTACTTACTTCGAGGGTGTAGTAAATAAATTCACGATCGCCACTAGCATTAAAGGATGCTCCAATCTGTGAGAGCTTGCGAGATATCATGAAAGCGCTTGCGTTCTTGGTGGTGAGCCCTGCAGCTGAACGGAGGACATGGGCTAAACCAAGCTCAGTTTGAGGTTCATAGCGGGAGCCAGCTCTGAAAGTCATATGTACAATTTTAAATTTCGTAACAATTTTAAATCCGAAATATCTGTTGAATTACTGTTGAACAACATCAAATCAAGTGTTATAAATATTAAAAAACAAAATTTCAACAAATTATCTAAGAATACATACTTGAAGGCAATGGTGACTCGAGTCACCGGAGAACCATTATCAACAGCGGCCACGAAGGTTTTATTAGGCAAAACACTAGTCTGGAGTTTCGCTTCCTTTCTCACCGCAGGCGCAGCCTGGGCATAACCTCTGATCTAGAAACATGTTAAAATACTACATGAAGGTCTGAAGGCCCTATTTGCTGCTTTTACATAACATGTCTTTTGACATAAGAAAATTGCGTAAAAGTGTAATCGCAATGTAAAACTTACTGTTATGTGACGTACAAAGGGGAGAGCTAAGTTTTTAGACGACATTTCTTATGAAAAGAAATTTATTCGATTTACTATTTACAATATCGTAGCCCAGTTCAGGCTTTCAGGGTTTCGCGAATATCGCAGAGCATAGACACTGAAAAGACAGGTCGAAGTTGACTTATCACAGAGTAAATTGGCATGGAGACCAACAGATGACGAAAAAATATTGTATGTATTACTATGTAATAAAAATATTAACATAATATTGTTAAAGAATTTTTAAGATTAATTTATATTATTTAACAAAACAATCAGTAATTGATTTTAAATTCTATAGTTTTTTCAATGTCATTCTCTAATACTTCAAGCTCATATAATGATAATGACATATGTCATTTGACGTTTCAAACAACAATCAAGGCGCCAATTTTGCTTATAATATTTCTCGTTAAAATTCGATTATATATGTTTAATATGACTTTATTTGTGTTAAAAATAAACAGCTAAATATTAACATTTTAAAACACTTATAATTCAAGATATTTTTTATTAAATGGTGGTCTTAATCATTGTTGTTTTATAATGCGTGGTTTGTATAACATGACATAGATGAAGTAAATGGCTTTGATAATTCATCGTAAATAATTACAGTCAATAATGTTGTATTCCAAAGTAAAGTGTTTGTTATTTGTCATTACAGAATAGTGATGTCCGAAATTATTGATGCAGTTACTGGAATTGATGAAAATAGCAACCCATCCCTCAATAATGATTTCGTAAATAAAAAAAGTAAACGTATACTTAAGTCTAGAGAAAATATTTTGAAGTACAAATGCAATAAAGAATTAAAGAAGAAACTTAAAAAGTACAAACTTAGAAGAAATAATCATGAAGATCCAGATATTTTAGATGTTTCACAAAACTTAATTACTTCATTAAAGATTAAATCACCCAACAGTGATATTACCAATCAAAGCAATAAAAATATTTGTGAAACATATAAACCTAAAAATTATTTACTAAAAATGGTGAGAACCAAAAAAGCTAATAAAGAAGCTAGGAAAACTCATAAAGATAAGGAGGAACATGTATTGAATTCAATTCAGAAAGGAGATGTAGAAATTATGCCGCCTCTTGAGGATATTGAGAATGAAAGTAAAAAACAAATGAATGCTTTTAAATTATTGATGGATTCTAGAAACAAGGTTATTGGGAGTAACTCTCCTGGAAAATTTAAATCACCGACAAGCATAGAATTAGATGAAATAACTTCACAAAGAGAAATTAAAGCGAAAAGGATTCTGTCACTGGATAAAATGGCTGAAGCAAAGGGATCACTAAAGAAAAAGGAAATTGAGGAATATAGGGACAGGTTTGTTGTGCAGAAAATGTTGAAAAGGGCTGAACGGTTGAAAAATATGATAAAAAGCCCAGAGAAAGAAAAAACTGTACCAACTACTCAAACCAAGACTGTAAATAATTTGTCACAAAATAAAACAAATGAAAAAGAAAAGAAAAATGTACTAGAGAAATCAAAAAAGACACTACAATTGTGTGATTTATTTAATGAGCCAACGGTTAAGGTTACACATGGTAGTGGACACAATAATATTGCTCAAGAGGATATTGAATTTCTTAATAAATTATCACCATCAATAAAGAAAAGAGAAAATATGTTGAGTTATTTCAAGAAGGTAACAAAGGATTCCGATTCATCATTAGAGATGTCTGATAAGAACTCTCCTGTAGACAATAAAAATGTTATAAAAGTTAAATTTACCCCAAAAAGAAAGAAGAAAAGTAAAAGACTAAAATCACCAGAAACTGTATCAAATTCAGATAATTTGACAAATGGTTTGGATGAAACAAAGGACTCCAATAAAGTGCAAGTTGAAAATTCTGAAAGCAGAAAAAGAAAAAGGAATATTGATAAAACTGAAAGCAAAGAAGACAGTTCCACAATAATACAAACAAATGTAGTAGATTGCAGTGATAATGATAATAGGCCTAAAAGAAATATTAAAAAACCTATTAAATATACTGATGATATAGATTTGTTTAGTTCTGATGAAGAATTACATATTTTTACGCCAAAGAAAAAGAAGAATATTGGAAAATTACCTTTAAACAGCTCTGAAGATAAAAAACCTAAAAACGATATCATTTTATGTGATGTTCAGAAAAAAGATGTTTTGCCATTGAAAAAAGATAAAACAAAATCTTCAAAATCATCAAGAAAACAGGATGGGTCCCAGAATGTATCAAAAGACAGGAAATTAGATAAAAAGGTGAAACTTTCAACTGAAAATTGTTTAAAAAATGTAAAGATTGATAGTAAACCAACAAAACTTGCACCTATATTTGTTGCCAAACCACAACTCTCTCCTGCAGCTATAGAAGCAAAACAGAATTTTCTTAAAAGCGGTGTCCCTGAGAAATTGAAAAAACATGCACAGTCACAGCCAAATGTCATTTTTACTGAATATTTTCAACCTGTTGTTCATGTACAACAGATTCCGAAATGCACAAAAATAATTGATAACAAATTTGATTTCTATACTACAAACTTAATTGATGGTCATATACCTGTTGTGGGTGATTGTCTATTAAAATCATTCCTAGAAAATGTTCCATCTAATACATTAAATGTACCAAATGTAAGACATAAGCCTATAAAGTTATTGAAGTGCCTTAAGAATGCACATCCCAAATTTCCTGTTTATCGTACATATCATTTGCTTAAAGGCAAAAGCAAGGGAGAGGTTAAGGACTGCAGCTATCCTGAAATGGACAATAGTATTGAAGTAATAGATGGCCTTGTAGATATAAGTAATGATAATCCTGATAAATTGAATTGGTGTGAAAAATATAAACCTTTATCTTCAAAGCAAATTTTAGGTAATTTTGAGACTATAAAGGAGTTAAAGAGATGGCTTGAAACATGGACTGAAAGTTTGATAAGATGTAAGAACTTAAAGAGCAATGATTCTGATTCATCTGACTTCTATCACTCAGACACGGATACTAAAGATGGGCCGAAGAATATCAATAACTTGCTGATATTGAATGGAATTACAGGATCGGGAAAAACCAGCAGTGTATATGCTGTAGCTGCTGAGTTAGCTATTAAAGTTATTGAGGTCAATGCAAGTAGAAAAAGAACAGGTAAAATTATGTTACAAGATTTGCAGGAAGCAACACAATCTCACAAAGTCAATAGAGGTAAAACTGCCATTGAAAGTTCTCAAAAATCACAGGAAATTGTAGTGACTGTCAAAAAACGGGGTAGACCGAAAAGAGTCTTAGATGATACGAAAAGTTCGTCACAATCCAGTGAAAATACTACACAGACAAGCCAAAGCCAGGAAACTTACACCGACATGTCCCTCATATTGATTGACGATGCTGACATTGTTTTTGATCAAGATGATGGGTTCTGTTCTGCTTTATCACAGTTAATACAAAGTTCAAAGAGGCCAGTCATTTTAGTGACTTCATCATTAACTTGTCCTCATTTACAGAAGTTTATGATGAATGGGAAGATATTGCACATGCAACCATTCCTACCTAGAATACTCGGAACTTGGCTGGATATTATGTGTTTGGCGGATGTCGGATTTTGTTTTGGGGGCTTAGGAGCTAGAATATTAGATTTCTACAAAGGTGATATTAGAAAAACGATTAATTGCTTACAATTTTACATGAATTCTAATAAACATGTCCATGTTGATGAAGTAGCATTGGCCCAAATTAAAACAAATATTGATGATGAAAACTCAAGCATGTCTTGGGCTGATTTAGAAGTTTCAGAAGACATCTCACGTTGTGACGAAAATACACAGATGTATATTGATAAACAAGTTGAAATGCTCGGAAACAAAAATATCGACCCATTTAACTTTTGGTGGAGCTTACCAAAGTACTATAAAACGGATAATAATTTAACGAAAACTACAACCTCCGAATGTTTAGAAGACGTTTCAAAAATATTAGATGCTATATCTATTTCAGATATTTTTGATCAAAATGATCAAACAGAAAAACAGTGTCATTTAGTAAGCAACTTTTGGTTGTGCCGTGAAAATCCAAGTGTACTTGAGAATGAGAGCTTCAATGATTATAATAAATCACATTACTTTTTAAATGAAATAACCCAAGAACTTATGAATATAACAACTTTTAAAGCACAGAAAATTTTAAATAGTGACAGAAGACTGTGCATAACCCAGCCAAATATGATGGTTGAAAGGTAGTTTATAAGTTATATTTTGTCAAATAATATCAGTATAGCATAACTTATTTGTGCTACTTAGTCTATGTTTCTGTTTTGTTTATGAACATTTTTTTTTCAGGCAAAGAGACAGATTAGTGTGCAGACATAAAAAAATAACAAGTTTCTTGCACCCATCGGTGATATTGGATCGTAGAGCAGCTGCTTTGGATTACTGGTCCGCTTGCAGAACAATATGTCGTCATGAAAAAAACAAAACAGATTCTACTTCAAAGAGAAACAATCGCTTCTTCCACTACCTAAAGTCTATAAACTTTCTTTGTAACACTGAACTCTTTAACAATCTTACTGATAGCTTAAGTTAGTACTTAATCTCTGTACTGTCTAAATTTAGTGAATTCCTTTATAGAGTAATTTTTAGTCTTATATTATGTTGGAGTACATTGTATTTTTATTAGATTTGTAATATAAAAACATAATCAGTTATTTATTTTACTTTACTATTATAAGCCTTTTCATTTATTATTGAAGTATTTTAAATAATATTTTTAAGTGAATTTAGTTGCATAACCACCTGTACGATCAAGTTATGAAATTAATAAAGTAGAAAATGCATATATTATTTTGAAATAGATTTGACATGAGCATTATGATTACATATTGATATTTGTAAGTAGAAGAAGAAATAAAACGTTTATTACAAAATATTTCGTCCTTGTTTCTTTTTATGTCTTAAACTGCGTTATCATGTTGCTAGAGAGATTAAAATAATTATAATTTGGTTATGTCTCAACGAATTCAAAGTCATAAGTGGAACTGCATTAATTGTGTCGTGTTTCATCGATAACGGAGACCTGATTATATATAATAAATAATATTTAACATAAACGCTATTACGAACTGATTCTAACTGGTTCTAAAATTCTCTTTGTAGTTTCAAAACGAAAAGGTCACATCGTGACATTTCGCCTGACAGTTGATAAAAAATTAAATATGTCACGTCAATATTGTTTTTCTTTTGATGAATGATAGATAACATACCTGCTACTTAAAGAGTTTAATAAAACAATGGAACCTCCAATGTTCTAATTGTTGGAAACAGCTTTGGACAAAAAAGTTTGAATAAGTTATTTTAAATTCTTTTTTGTAAGAAAGTTTAAGTGCAATAGCTATTAAAAAATCGATGATTAATACTTTTATTTCTAAATATTTATATAAGCAGTCATTTGAATATTTCATAATACTCGATTTAGTATGGTAATTAGTTAGTATTTCGTAAAGTTTTTTTTTATCTGATATATAAAACTGCCTTCATGAAACTACTAACAAAAGGTAATCAACGGAATGAGGTTACTTGTTTTCGGTAATTATTTAGAAACTTATTTTAATTACCTACTGATTGCTACTATAGAAAGACTGCATTCAATATATTTAATTTCCGTGGTATTTTTGTTCTCACCAATTATTAATTTTAAACAAAAATCCGAAATTTTAATTCATTTAATTTAAAAAAGCATATCAATTACATCCCGCAAAACGTATTTTTTTAAACATAAAAAGGTAATCCCCATAAGTACCTACTTGTATAAAGAAGATTAGAGATTAAAAAGGAATCCAGACATATCTGTCCTATCTATAAAAATAATCCGATTTTTTCACTAATGCATATATAATTTTGAATTCCTTCGTGTTATATACAATGAGTAACATCAAAACTTCTACACTTTTAAAGTATTTAAAAGTAATTACAGGACGCTTAGCGCTTACATCTGATAAGTAGCTCGATATTCTATTCTTATTCTTTCTGTTTTAAAATTTCTCTTTCATTTTTTTTATTTATTTTGGATTACTTCCTAACTGTTTAAATATTCGATCGTGAATGAGACGCCTGTTAATAAATAATTTTGATCCCAAATGCTTATTGTTGCTCAAACGTTAAGTTGATTTAACTATGTTGTTAAATTAATAAAAGTAACATTAATAATACCTACCATGAACTGTTAATTCCATTTCGTCAAAACTAATTTTATAGGTTATTTTATATTATATCGTTTTATTCGTTATTATTTTCTTATTTACTTTAACCTAAAAAGAAACTTAGTCCCAATGCGATTTGACCTGAAAGAACTAATAATTATTTGGTCAAAAATGTTATATGATGACCGAGTAGATTATTTGAGCATGTCACTGACATACCTACATCTCAGCTTTTAAGCAAATGACATTAAAAAAATTAAATATTTAAATTGTGTATTTTCATTTTATTTGAGAATAAAGATACATACTTGAATTTATTTTCGTAATCATACAGAAGTATTAAGTTTACATGCAAAAGTATTGATTTAATATGGCAATTTTTTTTTTAAATCGCAAGTTCAAAAAAAGGGTTTTGGGGAAATTGAATTTTCTGTTCTTACTACATAATTTTTATCAATCGACGACTTATTTTGGTCCTTAAGTTCCTCGATATCTTTATAGTATTTTATATATGTCTTCTTTTTATATTATTTATCAAACTATCAACAAAAATAAATAATCTATCGTTCAGGACCAACATACAACTCAACGAAACAAACTAAAATAACAGTAAAATAATGTTATACTTATTTTAAATAAAACAAATAAACTTCTCCATTACACACTACATTCTCCTATACACCACTTTGAAAAATTGTCTCATATCTATTATTATTTAACAACGTATTTAATTTTGCCTCTTGGCTTTATCTTATATATATTCACTACAGAATTATGTGCCTTATATTCTGCTCTTATGCATTTATATTTATTGACTGGAATATATCTAAAACGAAGCTTAAAAGTCATGTATTAAGAGAATCAATCAATAATTCTTCAGGGTGTATGTAGTACCTTTAAAAGTACCCTACCACAAATTTATTTGGTTGACTACAGACGAAGCTTTTCTAATTTTTCATTCACAAATTATGATAGATTTATGAATGAATACTGAAAACGCTTTGTATAAGTGATTTGAGGACACGAATTTGTGTTAAGAGTATTATTTACATCTAAATCGAATATGTCTTTACATATAGTAGTAGTAAGTAATCTAACGAGTTAATCTATAGACGTTTTAAAATATCAAAATTTTATAATACCCATATACTTTTTTAGATCTTAAAATTTGTTTATAGGAGAAGTTTTACTTCGTTATAGAAACTCGACTAATGTAGATTAATAAAAAAGAAAATATTTTGAACAGTGCTTATTATGTAATAAAACTTTATATTAATATAAACGTTATTGTAACTGACAAATATTTTTTTTAATTTTAGTTAGTTTTTAAGATATAATGTGTTAATATTCCAAACGTCACTTTGATCACAAGGCTAAATTAACTTCGGCTTGGTACAAATAATAGATTCTACCTACAGTGAATTGTCTGAATACTTACAAGTATAAAAATTATATTTCAATGGTTCAACTTAAAATATAGTTTCTACAATGTTTGTTTAGTACAATAAAAACATTTAGATAAAGTAATTTCTGTCTTATATAAGACATCTGATGTCAATAAATTTATTCAAGGTTTGTTTGAAGGGCAATGATTAGAGTTTAATCCGACTTTAATACGCCCTGATTTGGAGGGAAAGAAAGGTCTTTTAAACTAGTTACTGTAAACATTTTTAACAATCAAGATTATTCAAGGGTAATCATATAATTTTTTATTAGAACCACTGTGGTTTTTAAAATATTACATTGTTAGCTGAATAACCATTTTTTGAGTCTCTCGAACCAATCATTTCAAAAATAAAATTGTCTTTCAGAGTATATTTTTGTGTGTTTAGCAATCCAAATTTAGTATTTTTCTAAAATGCTTAATATTTTATGTACATACCCGATAAAAAACTGAATATATTGATTACTCATGAGGAGGACAACGACTTGACAATGTTGGAGATATGAATGAATTAAATCAATTATAAATAAAAACAAGACTACGTTTAAAATTAATTATATGTAAATAAATATAATTAAGAAGCATGCAAGTAATGTAAGAAGTTATACCAAATAAAACAATCGATGGGATACAATTTTTAAACATTCCACACTAGGAAAGAAAAATTTAAGTATAGCTTTAAAGTTAGGTGTTTTCGTATACATATTGATAATGCCTTTAAATAGAATAGTAAAACGAGAGTTACTATTTTTTTTGTAGAAGGTTTGGAAATATTTCAATATGAAATTTAGGAGCTCTAAAATGAAATGAATATTTTAAAATATAGGACAATTGAACTTTTATTCTCTCTAAGAAAAGGTACACCTAGAGTTACTTTATGCCGATTGCATATGAGATGTTGGTATATAATTATATATCCAGTGCCGGCGTTAGAGGGACTGACGCCCTGGGCAAGAATATTTTGGCGCCCACTGGAAGAAATCAAAATCGAGTATTAATTTTTTTCTGAACCAATGTGAACACTGAATGTGTATTAAGAATTCTATATTCCATCTACCATCTTCCATGTTTCCTTTAGCGTGACCCAGACCTAACGACGTGGACGTAGAAAGTTATGCAGCTCCTATTTTTTTTTTCATTTATAAGTATCCTACCTAATCGCCCCCCCAATCTTTTCGTCCTGGGCCGTCGCCCCATCTCCCCCCCCCCCTAACGCCGGCACTGTATATATCATATAAAATGCTACTAGGCCTTGGATAGTCTGCTAGAATATAAATTGCATTTATTGTTATAGAAATATCTTACATATAAAAGGATTTATAACTCAAGAACGGATGTAATGATATGGTTGAAAATTAGCGGGAAGATAGCTTAGAATTAAGAGATGGATATAGGATATTTAGGAAAAACAAAAAACTTAATAAACTCTAATACTTATCAGGTTATATGCGGCGCGTAGGGCGGAATAGAGTTCGCCCGGTTAGCTACATATATTACTAATTCCGAAATAAACGCGAACTAAGTCCCGTTCAAAATCTAGTAGCTATCTAATAAAAAGCCACCCCTTTTTTTATAACCATAATAAATCTCGTCAGTAAAAAAAATACCTATTATTTAATAAAAGTAGATTTTGATGATAGTAGGTAGAAGTAGTTCTGGGAATAATTTCGTGATATAAATTATAATATACGGTGTTTTGTTACTATTAATATAAAATCATACTGTAAATAGGTAAACCGCAATGATGAATTTTTTAACTTTTTCTTCTAATAATTGAATTCATATCCTTCTCTCCGCTGATGATTACTCAATTTAAATTATATGGTTTTCTGTGTCCTGTTATAATATTATTAAAATATAATTTCTTTTCAGAATAAATAATTATTACTTTAATATCTAAACATAATAAATTCTTCTGTTGTTGACGATCTCCTTTTATATTCTTACAATTAAAACAATAGACACAAAATATTTCTTAGGGATAACTATTAACGATAAAGTTAGCATCAATCGACCTTTCCTCAATAGCAGAATCTTCACTGACCTCATGAATAAATTAATCTCTACTGCCACAGGATTTTTGAACGTAAAACAGAAAAGTTTTTTTTTTTAAATTAGAATATTTTGTTTATATTGCAACAAACATTATAGTATCAATTACCATATCCTATAACTTTAGAATAGGTAACTAGACAGACGAGTGAAAATCGACCCAGTGGTTACCATATTCCACTTAAGCGAAGCTTATCGTTACGATTTTTTGGGTAGTATCAGGATTATCCCGGGGAGTCCTCTGTACTCTTCAGACTTAGTAGTAAAGCAATAAATCGCTTCCCCAAAGTTAAAAAAACTAAATACTTTGTAGATTATACAAAGTCGCTGTTTCTATGTTCATTAGAAAGATCATTGATTATATTCTATGCGTATTATGCCCTTCTTGTACACTTTAAACAACCTTGTATTAAATTGAAAATATAAACTGGAAAACATTGAAATTGAGGACATAAAATAAATAGGTAAGCATGCTACTTTTACATTTTTTTAACTCAATGATAAAACAAATGTTTAATAGGTTTGTTTCATTAAGTACTATAGTTAATTTGTTTTATACATTTCAACTTGAAAATACAAAAAAATAAGTAATTAATATGGTTAAACTTTTACTCTTTAATATGAAAAGAAAAGAGCAACTAACTAGCTTTCATTCCAGCTCCAGGCAGAACTACATTTCTAACCGGTGTTAGTCTTATTGGCTGACCATATTGAGATGAAGTTAATAACACAATATTTTCTTCAATATCTATTTGATTAAAATATAATAAGGGTTTACACAGACCAGAAGACATAGGAAACCTTCATGGATCGAGGTAGAGCCTTCATAATCTTGGAACTTGGTGTCTTGATAGATCCAGAGCCTTCAATGGGACTCATAGACATTGTTATAAGCAGAAGATACATGCTAAAAGATCTATTTTGTTCCCAAATTCGATGATTCGCAAGCCAACGGTTATAGAATTTAGCTATAAGCGGGAGACAATAATATAGATCTGATATTGTTATAAATCATGGACTTTTTATGCATGCATGTATACAATTAATCTGAAGCATTTTTATAATTTCAATCCATGCCTTCATGTATACTGAAGCTGTATTGCAGCATATTTTATAATTATCGAAGCACGTTTTAAGTAACGTCAAGCACGTTTTAAGAAACAGTATAATAAATCTTAATTGGTCACAATCATAACATTTTTGTTATATTATATTCAAGATAATCCCTGACTTCTTATATTTTTATCTATTAAAAAAAATTAAGGAAACAATGCTATTTTTACATAATTAGTACATTATCAGTAAATAACATAGTAACACGTTGTAAATGTATCAGATATTTTTTTTATGAATCCGATAACTTGAACCGTGGGGAAGTGAGTTCAAAATGGTACATATTATGTTTTTAAGCTTATTTTTTTATCAGCATTACTGCTATCAGAAATGACATTAAATTATGATACTTTTTGAATAGTATACATATAATTTAAGTATTTTGTTCCTATGGTTTCTATTAAGAACAAAGATTATAATTATTTATTGTACAAATGAAAGGTATTTCGATATATTATATTCTTAATGTAATAAAACGTAAGTATGATGTACGATATACCTTTTTGGACGTACTTCCCTCATTCGAGAGGTACGTTGTTTTTACAATCATTAACTGTTACTATTTTTAATACAGACTGTGTTTGTGACGGTTTTGAAGATATTTTTGTCTTTAAATTTTTGTAATCTATAATATTGTTTTTTTTTTAAATATATTTTTTGATAAATATGTTAAATTAGTAGACATACTATACAAAATGACACATACATTGAAAATAAACAAAATTATCCTCTAGGATTGTCCTTCTATTAACAACATCCGTGTTTTTAGTTGAGAAACTCTTGTTACTAAGAGACTTAAAACGAAGATCATTGAACGTTTCACATAATTTGACCGCTGATGGTTTATAGCTTATTGCTGATAACCAGACATTTTCATCATTACATAAAAACCAAACAAATAAAAAACATTACATTAGTGTGGAAATTCCGAAAACCTAACCTTTCGAAGGTTAAGTTCCGTTTAAAAACGAAATACATTTAATAATTCTCCATTAAAAAAATATGTCCGCGGAGTCCCTGAATCGTGATCGTGACATGTTATTAAGTTACTGACCGCTTATCTTTTTCGCTTAGAAAGAATACTACAAGGCTACAAACAGTTGGAAAACATACATAAATTTGTACAACTGTTTCTGAACTAAACAGGAAACGGACAATTCATACGTCAATTACATCTTGTATGTGACATGCTAGTGTCAGTTATGTCAGGAACATTGAGTAAAGGACTAACATCTGGTTGTTGGTTTTATAAATAGCCACGACTGTTTGCACCGTGTTGGTAGATAACAACTTGGTTGTTCTGTTACTCGGATGTGATCTTCTAGAACTGTGTGGATTTGGACATGTCTTATCACAAATACAACTGTACATAGATGAGTTTGACTGTAGGGTGTTACTCAGTAAAATAATTTCTATGTAGTTTGAGAATGGATTAGTATAATATGTTTCGATTCATTGATAAAATAGGTTTTCTTATCGTTATCGATAAAGTAATCTATTTAAAACTATAAGTAAACATAGTGTATACTTGAGGGATTGTGATAAGTGTAATTGTCTTCCATATACATTTGTTGAGCTAGATATGTTATACTAAAAATTATACATCATCTTTCGATATTCTATCAGCCAATAAACATACAACGACATGAATAAATTCTCTGATTACATCTATCTTAACACAATAAGTGAATTTAACAGCACTATCTACTTAGTATACCCATCTGGCGAATACTAGTTATTATGATCTAGAACAATATTGACGTTATCTTGAATAAAATACAGCAATTGACATTTTAATAGTATCTATATACGATCATTGAACATGAACAATTCATCCCACTTCAGCCGAGCTATACATCGAACGGCAAATCATTATCCACTCGTAAACAAAACTGAAGCAATGAAAATGATTTATAGACAGCATAATTGTATTAATGACGATAAAAAATCTATAATGTGTAACCTCTGGCTCTCCGGTTGTCAATGGCTGATCAGTCTTATTTAAAATAATAATATATAATTAAAGAGCACAATAGAGTAGACGAGTTTTTCCTAAGGCCATAGCTAAGCGGTCGCTAACACTGGCGCCGGAGCGGGGTTATCGCTGGGCGCGTGCGCTACGGCTGTCGTCGCGACGCGCTTAAATATAACGTCAGGCAAAATACGGTGCTAGTCAATAAAGTGTGCTCGGAGTATACAGTCAAAATGGTGAAGAGCTCGCTTCGCGGTGAAATATGCGGTTACTGCAACGCTTGTGTTCGTATACGTCTTTGTGCCGCCAGAGGACGCAGTCCCGAACCATTGGAGTGTGCTTACAAGCATATATTAGATTCGTACGGCGGTAAAAATACTGAGCCGGAGAAGATATTGGACACGCTCAAACCGGCCTGCGCATCATGCCGATGGACGTCTGACGCGCAGTTCCCTGAAACACCGCCTTCTTCGAGTGACCTAAGTTTGGAATGGAGTTCACAGTCTCAGTCTCATAGAGCTCGACTAAGAAGACGCAAGAGATAAAGGAGAATAGTAATACATTTCCGAAAGAAATATATGGGGAACCAAATCTTGGTATTGAGATCGAAGGACGTCTGCGTCAGCTACGGAGGCACAACATATATGCTAGTCAAGCTGTATACTGATTGAATTATTTATGACCTATTTTTATATTAAAATATAAGACTTCATTATAGTCTGTTGTTTGACTTTATATCGAAATAAAAATTTTAATTTATATTGTATAAAAACGTGATTGTTTCATCATATAAATGGATTACTGTTTCAGTGAGTGGACCGCGACGTTGTTGATGTTATAATTATCTTTACATACTTTTATATGTGATGACTTATTAAACTATAAATAAAATGAAAAGGTTTTTTAATCTTCCATCTGAGACATTTACATTACATGAATGGCTTCTATACGTACATATACTAATACTTAATTATATCATATTATAATACCATCAATCGCTAAATAGAATCTCTTAAAATCCTATATATTAATTTTAATATAAATATTATGTATAACAATTTATATTTATACTTCGGAGTTTTTGCTACAAGTTTCATATTAATCTTACCAAAATATTAAACTTGAGAGTTTGATCAGATATAAACAGCTTGGTTAGTCTTTTAAATAAAAGAAACTATGATTACAATAAAATTACCCAATTATATGGCTCATACATCAGAGTAACAAATAGGCTATAATAAAAAATATTAGGACAATTGCAAAATAATTAACGTTATTCCACAGATTACCATTATATTGATCAAGATTATTTTTTTAATGTTTAGAGGTAAATATTAAAGATGTCAAATGCCACGTTATTTTGTCTACACGTGCTACATCTGATGCAATATATCAATTAACGAGATCATTAAACGTGATAGTATTAAAATTTAATCTTCTGTCATATATACTATATGACGTCTGTCAAATATATTAAATATAGATTATCCTAATTAGAACCCCCACATTGGCCTAGATAACATACTATGTATTTAATAATACGTAATAAGATTTTCCACAACTGAATCAGATATATCAAGGTTGGTAGATATATATAAATACATCTTTCTTGTTTGTAGATGTTTTATATGGAAGATAGTTTTCACATTTCTTAGGTGTAATATAATAAAAAAATTAACAAACTGTTTCTGGTCCGGTTGCTGGAAATCCGAAATACATCGAATAAAGCCACTTATATTTTATACTACTAATATCTCTTCTTCTTCTACCTTCCAATTTCTCAGCTTTAGCCAGGCCGCCTGCCTGACATCAACCCTCTTTTTGGGAATCAGCATTAATCAGTGAAGTCTAAATATTCTTAGAAAGTACATATGACTCGGAAAAATCACATTGGTACTTGTCCGGGCCAGGATAAGATATAAGAAGGGGGCCTTTTAACCACTAGGCCACCACTGACTATATTACTAATATCTGTTATGTACAAAATGAAGAAAAAAAGAACAGTGTTAAAAAGTAGTAGTCTAGAAAGTTTATAATTGTTTTCTATGCTTAATGCAATAGAACCGTAATATTAAGAAAGTTGGTTGATACTGGCGATTTAGTTAAAATCTATTGTGTGTATTTTATTATATATTAACAATTTATAAAGCTTTTGACAGGATAATAGTAAGTAGGCATCAAGTTTATATCTGTTTATGATTGATGACTGATTGATTGACTCAAATAGATTTAGCGTTAATATCAGAACAACAAAGAAAACTCCAAGATATAAAGCTAATAGGGAAATATTTTCTTTAAAAACAAGAGCCTTTTTTAAACATATAAATTTGATACAGAATTTTTTAAATGTTGAAATATTCTGAATTCCAATATAAATACTTATTTTGGGTTTGTGGTTTATTTCAGTGGCTTTACGTAATAAAAGTAACGAAATACATAATTCTACAGAATTGAACTGTATTTATTGTAGATTTAATTTTTGATTAATGACCGATCATATTTAATTGAAAGTATTTCATGAATCAAATATATACCTAATACTGTATTACTTTAAACAACACAAACACACAAAAACACTCATAATTATTAATTACAGTTCTGTAATCAATTACAAAAATCTTCATAGATTTATTATCCTTCATCTGTCTAGTGTTTTGGGTCGGTTACGTAAAAGTTTGGTAAAGAGAAATTTAATTTCACTTTTATTAGTAATTAGCGTCTTGTTATTAAGTATTACAACTGTGACCCAGGTTTATTTCATATTTTTATAAACATCTACATATCTTTCATATATTGTTTGATTTTGAAAATATATGACAGCCAATTATAGCACCTATTTCATATTTATTATATAACAATATATAAAAAGTTGTATGTATTTTTTTATTGTAGTCTATCATAATAATAAAATTTTACATGCTTTTATCGACAACACTAATTATAGCAGTCATTAAATTTGTGACTCCAATCGTAAATGTAATCAAAAACAAGACAGATGTCAAAATGAAGTTTAAAATCGTTGTGACCTTATGATATGCACCTAAAGACATTGCAAAAACACTTTTACAACTAATTAATACGGTCGTAAAACGAAATGTAATAAATATAGGAAAAATACAATAAAGAAATCTCTGGAATGTTGATAATTCTTTTTATTGTTACATTTTTAAGCTAATTTCTATCTAAATATTTAACGAACGTTATTCTATTGCAGTGTATACATATAATTTCTAAATTGAGAGTATTAGGATGCTTAACAAATAAATAAATAGTTAAATATATTATTTTTTTTACAAATGTCTGGAGTTTAAAATTAAAAAGGATATGTTAGTGTTATGTTATATATAAATAACTATGTACAATATATATACATTTCTTAAAAAACCTTAGTCTTAATTAAAATTTATAATATACTCGTCTTTAAAACTGAAATAAGTAAAGAAACTTTATAATCTTATAAAGTAACTATTAGGTAAAACACATATTTTATTATTAAAAAAATATAATAAATTTCGTAAAATATAAATTGGAGAAACAGTTTTTTGATTATGTCAAGGTACGAAATAATAATATATATAGTTTATAATAGTTCTAATCAGTAGGTATATATTTATTTACGTATTGTGAAAATTAAGAATAATAGCAGTATGTTAAGACGATTGTGGAGTATTTGAAAGGACAAAATATGTGTTGGAAAATATATAGGATTCGCTCTTCATAAATTAATTTTAAGTACATATAAGATTAACTTTGCTAGAAACTTTATTATAAGAAACTGGTATACAAAAGGCGTGATATATATGAATTGAAAATATTACGCTGCAAGTGTTTTTTAAGTGACTAGCTTATAAATTTTTCTAAGGAGTAATGAGTTTTTTTATTATACAAACTCTCTATATTCCAAATAGGATCAATAGAAAAGTTATTTACAAAGTACATAACTAAGTTTGTTAAGTTGGTTAAAAAGTTCGTGACGTAAAGAATTAGGTACGTATTTTATAGTAACTGCGATGTTTAGCTAAATTGAACACTTATTTTAGCTAGATATTACAGTAAGATAACCTGCGAATTTCTACAAAAATTTACTGATTTTGTCTACACAAAAATAATCTTAATTTTAACCAATCACAGAGATTATAGTTGTTTGTGTTTGACGTGAAATTTTTAATGTAAAGGTAGGACGTAAGTGGCGTTCATAGTGTTTATTGGTACGGGGGGAATGGTGGGGAGGAGGGGGGTGGGGTACACCTTACAAGTCTCAGCTGGGGGACCTAACATACCCAGTAATAGATACGATACTAAAGAACCCGATAGAAGACCACCGTTGTAAGATAACGTCATCATATTACCTGCAAAAAATAACTTTTATTATATTCCACAGATAAAAAAATACATATATGTTTTTTTTTAATTACCAGCGATCTCCCGATGTTCTCTGCCGACTCTCGATGGCGCCATTATCATTGGAACGGATCCGAACAAACCGTTTGTGAATCCCAATACAACAGAGAACATTATCGGATAAATCTAGAAAAAAAAATACAGATTATTGAATAAAAAAAATATTAAAAAGGAAAACACCATGTATAATTTAGGAATATTAAAAATTAATAACAGTATTTCATTACTTACATCTCCCACGATGTGAGGTGAGTACCTCGGTGCAGCGCAGAGTAGAAGAAGCGGTACAAGTAATAAACGTAGACCGCTAGCCATCAATAACTGACTGCGACTCCATTCATACGGCCAAGCAGCAGCTATCTATCACAATAAAAACCTTAGATTAATATGTAAAACAAACCAAACTCTTTTGTGTATTCTACTACGTGACATTGGCATAATATTATTCGCCTTTGCCTTGTCGTCCATCAATAAGGAACAAAAATAAAGGTCATAGTATCATGGCGTATTTTGTTAATAAGTTGTATAGAATTATTCCAGATCGTTTTAACTAACAAATTGTAAACAAGCTGTAATATTTGTTGTTTCGTAATCGGCATAATCAATTGTAACGATAAGTAACCTTTGTAATGACTGGAACATTAGACTTAGAATTGCAATGTCGATAATAAAGACAATTCCAGAAAGGGTCGCGATCCTTTCAGCGAAATAATATTTGATATTCATTTAAAGGCCAACGTATTGACGTATCGGGATAGTAATAATTTATTGTTTCCTTGTATTTTAGCACAAGGACTTGAAGCCAAAAATGTTTATTAAATAAAATTATTCCGCTTCGATCTGTCAGGAGTGATGTATTAAGTCTGTATGAATATCAATAAGTCATAATTAATTTGTATAAAATGTCTGTTTGGTAGTGATATAAATTTTAATTGTTTAATATAAAGAATACATACTTTTCCAATAAAATCGAAAAGGTTGAAGGCGGACATAAGTACAATAGGCATCCATGATCCAAGACGACATGACGGTACTTCTGAAGCAATGCCGGGGTATAAACTTAGTGTCGTGAAATACACCAGCCCGATAGACACCATGTAGGGATAGATAGCACGAGCTACAGCCCAACGAGCCAATACGCCTCCTGTTAATTTTAAAAATAAAAATATACTGAACGGAAAAATTAACATTCCTCATTTTTTTTATTTACTTTCGAGTAAAGGGGATGGCAAAAAGTAGAAATATCTTATTACGGTACGAGAGAAAAGGCATTTCAAAAGTGGAAACATCTTGTTGTCATAATAAATGACATGTAAAAAATTTCTAGTTTTTTCTTCCCTCTAACCTAATTCTAACCGATAAGAAATCTTATATACACTTGTTATGTATATTATTTATTTTGACTCTCCTTATTTGGTAGATGTAATAAATCTTTAAAACTAAAAAGCAAACACATAAGTGGACAGTTATTAGGTTTTGTTTAAAGTAAAACGATGTTATTGTTATCTTCTTAATCAAATCCTGTAAATAATCCACGATTGTTGTTATCTTTGTAATTTGGCAACGTCTATAACTATTAAATATTTTTCCCAGAGAGTAGAAAATAATAACAATTTTTATTTATTCTGTTCATTAAAGTACTTTTTTTCCACCAGATTCTTCTTTAGACCTACATATATTTTTAGAAATCATTCAATTAATACGTAGTATATGAAGCTATATTACTTTAATGTTTAAAAATATATATTATTAAAAATAAGTAACTTATATAAATCCTAAAATTTATATATTTATAACACGGAGGGATAGCATTTTTAAATTCTTGTAATTTTCTCTTTTATATCTTTAGATAGGTACTTTTCTCACGATCATACTATTTTAGGTGTAAAAACAAAAGCTTACCTAACTTATTAAGCACGAAAGGATAGCAAAAAATATATAGAATCATTCACATACTGACGTCTCTGAAGAACAACTTTATGACGGTTATAATTTAAAATGGTAGTAGTTTTCTGTGGTTTAACTTTTATATAAATAACTTGATTAACATTTACTATATTAGACAGAATTCGTAATAGTTATACTGTAACATAATTATTAGATTAGGTAAAGGATAGTGGTTAATGCTATTGCAAAGAAAATCATTAATTCATTGAACATATCAAGAAAAAAAATTAAGGAATATATCTCAAACTAGGTTTTCCCAGCGCCTTCGTCTGTATTAATTTCAGAATTAGAAATGTATAGCTGACCGGGCGATCTGTATTTCTCCTTCAAGATGGTAAGTAAATAACAAGATATTGGATTACATCAACTTTTTTTCCGGTCGGATGAAAAGTATCCTATGTCATTTCTCTTGTTTTAAGCTATCTCCCCATCAATTTTCAACTACATATATCCCTACTTCGGTCTTCAGTTATAAATAGTGTAACTAACACAAATTTATTTTATACACGTACATACGTATAGATATATATAAAATATAATACATACGTTTGAAGCTTCTCCACGAGGTGGGTCGTTCTGGTGATTCAAACACAACGTCTTCTACTTTGTATGAAGGTCTTGGGGTTCTCAGGGTTGATGGTGAAGCGGACATTTCAGACACACTCGCTGGTGGAGAGGCGAGTGGGATTGGTGCCGCTGCAGTGGGTGAATATACTGGGTTCGCGAAACTGAACGTGTTCTCTACTTCGCCTGTAATATTTAATGAAATATATATGTAGTAGTAGGTATTATTCTAAAGCTTTTCATCGATATTAAAATAATACGAATTTTCTGTATTAGTGTCACCAATGAGACATTTAAATGATGTGATCATTTCTAGCGAAAAATCTTTTACATATATTTTTTGTATTGTCTTAAAAACTTAAGCAAATAATTTTATTTATATTGAAATATTAAATCGGTTATACTGAAGATAACAATATTTTTCTTACAATAATATGTTTGATGCTTTCGAAAATTTAAAGACAAATTTCGTTATTTTATATATATTGTCTTGTATATCGAGTAAGTTTTTTTAAATTTAAGAATGATAAGTATAATTTTCGTAAATAACCAATATTAAAAACTAAAACTGCAAATTTACTAAAGACCCTTCACCGAAAAATAATAATATTGTATGACTCTTAATTTAGTGTGTTTACAAGATCTTGTATTTCATCAAAGTAAGTTTTGAATAAAATATACTGAACTGTCACCTTTGATTTACTTACATTTACCTACATACTATACGCTACTTTAAGAAGTGACAATATTTTAATTGGAATTGCCGTTGTACTATTATATTTATTAGGGTAAATATACATATAAGTATATATTTTAAAATTAAACCCCATAGCTCAAAAGAATACAACATTATTGCATTCAGTGGATTGTGTCAATATAAAAATGCTTTTTTATTGCAGCGACACATCCCCCTCGTTTCAACGTGATCTCTATTTCAAATTCATTTGTTATTAAATATTAAATATTTTTCGTCTAGAGCTCCTCATACAGAAACGTGTGGTTATTTAAAAAAAGCTGATTCGAGCGATTTAGACTGCGTTGTTTGATATAGGAGTTACCAATGTTTTGGTATATGGAATCAAGTAGTTCTTATAAAATAATATTGTTTATTAAAACTGTAATATAGTAATGTTCGATGAAGATATCGCTATTTTATTTTAGCTACTAGGCAAGTGTCTAATAAGCAAAACTTTGGAAAATTAGTTTACTGTTTACGTACAAAAACTACTACTGCATACTCTATAAATAGTACTATTTTTCGCAACATTAATCCTAAAGAGAATTGCTTTTTAAAACATTCAGGCACATACCAACTCCAGACGAAGGTGCTGGACTCTGAAGCTTCAACACTCCATAGCTGGGTTCGCCCACCTCACTCTCCATCTGAAGAAACAGATAATTCTTAGTATATTCTCGTATTGAGATCTTGACTTTCACTAGTATTCATTTAAATGAAACTAATATTTTTCGAATTACTACACGTATTTTTCTCATCTCGTTTTGCCCATGATCACGGTTGCTGCAAAGAAATAGAAACTTCGGGAGTACCGATGTACTTTTAAAATCATAAAATACGCGAAGCACTTCGAAAATATTAGTTTCAACTTTCATTTATATTCTCGTATTTTATTATATTTTAGAATAATATTTGAATATCGAACACACGTATATATGAGTATGAAAAATAATGTAGGATTAATTTTTCATATTACCAAAGTGGCGTCCTCTGTCGGATTCAAATGTAGTTGGATTCGTCTTCGATGTCGAGATTCATTTGTCAGTCTGAGATAATGTTGTACCAGTGGGTGACGCATCATAACATGATGCAGCATGGAGTGTCCGAGGAGTATCAGTATAGAAAACACGAAGAACATAAATGTACTGCGTTTGGGCTGACTGAAGCTGTACTTCGTGACGATCCTGTCTAATGAAACCCAAAAACCAGCTGCGCCTGGAAATATTTAAATGCAATTGGTCAGATAGAAAATATATTGATCAAATATGAAAGAGATTATAATGGATTTTTGCTTAGAGATAAATGTTAAGTGCGTTGAAACAATAGGTATACATTTCTATAGTCTTTTAGTTAGTAAAACTGTAGTTATAATAAAACTGTTATGATTTGATCTAATAAAGAAATGATATAAAATGGTTTGGTACATCTGGAGGAAAAGGGTACAGACGTGTGGGTTTCCATAACTTCAGAAATTTTCGAATTTATTACACAGGGATATGGTTTTCATATAACTTACTTTCGCCCGCCATAACAGCTTGAGTGTACCTAGGAGGCAGACAGCCCGTAAAGCCGTAGTATGAGGCTTGTTGTATCGTACAACCGAAAGCCACGACTCCAATAGCCACCAGGTTGATAGTATATGATACACTCGATGAGAAACCGTCCCAGCCGATGTTACAGACAGCCACAAACAGCATAGTTGCCAGTGATAGCAGGATACCTAGATTTCATCATCATCATCATCATCATCAGCCTATCTAGAAGCTCACTGCTAAGCAAAGCTATTTCTCTAACCTAGGTTAATATAATTAATACTATTCTCTCCTACTTAGGATCAAAATCAGAACTATATTGGCTTTCAGTCTTTTAGATTGTATACTATCGTTTTAAAATACAATGTCCGGTGATGACGTAATATAATTACTTGAAGCTTAAGATATGTATTGAGGATGATTTTAATAAACAAATTTTTAGAATTCTCTACCTGTAGACCAAAATTGAACATGCCTGAACTATAGCTACTTATCTTAGAATGATTCGTATACGGATTTCCCAACCTATTTGTCTTTACCCACCAGATAAACATCATAATTAGGAAATTGAATTCAAAAACAATTCAAATATTCTGTGCAACTTTTTTATAGTAATAAAGTTTAGTACATTGAGACGTCTGTTATTCAATCGTACAAGAAGACAAGCGATTTTAACAACAGATATTTCGATTACATATAATTTAAAATAAAGTGGTTTTAGTATAAATCATAAAGTCTTAAAAAAAGATCCTAAAATTATACAAGAATTGTCGTTATTGACTAATATTATTGAATTTTTTTTTTATAAATCATATCTAAGATTTTTACGTGTATTCATTTTAATTAAACTAAGGTTTTCATATAACTACGAGTTTTTTTTATTATTTAGCAACAACATAATCTCTACGTTTCAGTACAATCTCGTATGCATCAAGTTTTGCTGCAAAGGCACCGAAACGTCGGGATTAGTAGTTGTATAATAATAAAAAAACTAGTAGTAATTTTGGAAGATATTAGTTATGTTTGTTTGTTTACCAAAAGTGATCCGAGTGTTATAAGTGAAGAGATCCAGCAAGAGGTTGTTGGTAATGACCGCTACGCACGCGGACACGATGTAGACAGTGGACATGTCGAACATTATGGTGGATTTAGGGTAGTGGTGTTGGAAGTAGTCTACAGCCATGATGAAGCTGAAATGTATCAAACACATGATGAATATTACATGATTCATTTCATTTACATTATCATTTTTTTATTATTAGGAAACAAACAGTATTACAAACAATCAATTGGAATAATTCATACAAAAATACATAAACCTATTAAGTTTCCACCGATTACAAGTTCATTAGGAGTTTTTATTCATCAGTCTTATATCGGGATCTTTTTTTCTCTGTCTATCGCATGTTTGTCATGTAACGTTTTTCAAATATGACTTAAGGGACCATTATGCAATTTATGTATTAACAATATTGGATTGAATTAATTGTTAATATTACTTTTCTATGTTTATTATTTTTATATAACTAAGATTTTTAGTAAATAAGGATATTTTTGAACTTATTTTTTTTAAATAGTTTAACTAACTTACCTATTAAATGGCAATAAAAATGCCGCGCCTGCTACGAATAGTGTGAAGTATACAGAGTTGTATCGGTCCGGTGGAGGAGCCCCGGGCTCCGGCATCGCTAGCGCTTCGCCCCGCGCCGCACGTATAGCTTCGATTCTAGCGTAGCCGCGACCCAAAGTTTCATTCATCTTACAATATTCACTATATAAATTATTCTCTCTCTTCGCCAGGCATTTTCACGAAAGTATCTACGTTATCAATAAATTTTTCTTCTGGTGTTTTACATAATAAACAAAACATGTATCTATATATCTATAAATGTTAGTATTTATATATTAAAGGTAATTTCTAGGTTATCATAACTGAATGCACTAAACTCTTAACGTTTCTTTGTTTTAGTTATCTTTATATCAACAATCTTGGCCGGTGCAAGTTGACAGGAAAGGTGTGTGGTTTGGGTTACCTAAGTATCACTGACGCATGCGCGTAAGCATCGATTTCTAGTGCAGGGTAAGCAACGGTATAATATAAGCATCTAAAACATTTGTAACATATTGATAAACATATCATAAACAAATTATTAAGCACATAAACAGATTTTATAGTAAGCTTAATTTCCTTTCATATTTAAATGAAATTTATTGTAGGTAATTGTTTTCTTGTTGTTGCGTCTTTGCATTTATTCTATTTCTTCTACTATTTGTTATTGCTGAGCCGCCCGCGTTTATATATTTAATTATTTTATATATTTAAAATTGTAAAGCGTTATAAAATTTTAAGTAGCACAATTAAGGTTCATTTTTTATTACTTTTTAGGAGTGTGGCAGCGTATGTGACACGCAATATGGTGTGAATCGAGTTTATTCCTAATATAATATATTAAAGGGAACTGATAATGTATATTCATCTAACAATGAAAAACAAATTTAAATAAGAAATAATGTATCAGAAGCTAGTTTTATTGTAACTTTCATTGATTTCCTAAATAAATAACTTTAACATAAGGCAGATTCGGTATTTGATAATTTTGATCTTAGAGAAAAATCAAAAATTACAGAGAATTGTTATCTTCGGATAAATATTAATCATTTTAAAAGAGAATATGCTTAATACAACTTTTTCTAATATTTATATAATCATTATTAGTTTTCCAAAGAAGTGTAAAGGTACTGACGGTTTAAGTAATACGTAATTAATAATCTCTCGTACAGTAGTGGTTAAATTACAAATATGTAGTTTTCTGAGAATAAAAAAACAGTAAATTGATTATAATATATGTGTATATCGCTGGTGGTTTTTTTCAATATCATAAACCTCGGGACTTTCCCTATTGTTGTCGAGTATAAATTATGAATAGTAAATAAATGAATGAATACATAACTACGATAAGATTATAGAAATCAAGAAAAAATCTATAATATCAAGAAAAATAAGGTATTAAATTGTTGAATAAGTCATTGATAAAAAAAATTGTATAAGAAGTAAAATAAACAAGAACCTGAAATTTTGGAAAAAATTATACAACTTACAATGAAAGATTTTTTTATGTTATGGATATAATGATTATTTATAATGTTTTCTTTTTTTATTTATGTGACAACTTCTTGTTGGGCTTTACGATTTTAAAGAAATTTAAAATATCGCCAACATTAGTTCCTTTCGACCCTTATTTTTTTTCTATTAGTGGATATTTAAAATTAACTCGAATAATACATTTAAAAAACACTAAGTCATGGTTGGTTTATATTATAAAATAATTTTCAATTAACTTTGAAAATATTATTTAATTATTCCATTAAAATGCACACAATACCATGCCTTGTATTTTATAAAAAAGTAAGATCACAAATTAAATTGTTTAGTTTAAAACCTTGGTTCAAATACTATTCCGAATTCCTTAGCCGATAAAGTCACACCATCAATCGGTTCGGGACACGGCATCGGATCTCCGTCCGGTATTTTAAGATTGAATCTTTGTAAAATGTGTACCAAAAAAAGAAACAATTCCGATCTGGCCAGACCTTCGCCGATACATCTTCTTTTCCCTAAAAAAAAAAAACAATTAAAGAATCTCAATATAAATGTGATATTATTGATGATATTTAATTACCACTTCCGAACGGCATGAAAAATTCATTTTGTATGAGATTTCCTTCTTTAGTTAGAAATCTGTCCGGGCGGAACACTTCGGGATCTTTCCAGTACGGACCGTTATGTAGATCGTGTATTGCCAGTAAAATAAAAGTGCCCTTTAAAGAAATTTTTTATAAGTGTTGACATAATGTATACAATAAATTGCCTACAAAAATGGGATTAATATGATTGATAAAATTATAATGTATATCGGGGACTGTTTTTGTATTTCTATTCAATATTAAGTGTCTTTAATTTCTGTATAATATTTAAATCATACCTTTGGTATAACATATTTTCCTAATCGTGCATCTTCGAGTGCCATATGGGGGATGCCGACTGCCGCCACACTTGATATCCGAAGAGTTTCTAATATGACTGCTTCAGTGTATACCATGCTTAAAATACATATTGTATAATCTTCAAATATCAATATATACAGCCTTGTTTAATAGAGAACATAGCAGACTCCTCATTGTATACGTAAATAATATATATTTAATAGCAGCGTCAGAGGAAAAAAGATTGCACGTGAATCTAATGAGGTTTATTATTTATTATAACTTTGTATTAGTGGAGACAAAAATGTTGATATTCCTAATTATTGCATACTTTTAATAACCTGTAGTAAGCATTCGGTTTATGATACGAGGATATTTTGTTGAATCATATTAGGTGTATCATATTGTTTTTTTTTTTCATCCTATCAGAGCCCACTGCTGAGCAAAGACCTCTTTCTCACATGGAGAAGGTGAGCATTAATCACCACGCTTGCTCAAGACGGGTTGGTGATTTCAAACTTATAATTGTGAAATTATAAGTCCAGGTTTCCTCACGATGTTTTCCTTCACCGTCTGTCAGTGATGTTTAAATACTCTTAGATAGTACATATGACTCGGAAAAATCACATTGGTACTTGCTCGGGCCAGGATCGAATAAGCACCCTCGGGCACGAGAGGGCCCTCTAACCACTAGGCCATCGCTGACTTATTGTTCTTGCCAACCTTTTATTATAGAAAAATTTAAACATACTAAATAATATTTTTCACTTGCTGTGTGCTTTATCTTGGTGCACGTTTTAGATTATGGTTTAGCTCCGCTAGAATGAGTTACATTGACGTATGTATTTACAACTAAGAGTTAGGGCTACATAATATTTGAAATAAAAATAGGTTGCATTACACAAAACCTTATTTAAAAGTCGACAAAAAAAAGTTTCCTAAATTAATAAGACATTAATTACAAAATAATATTCTTTCTTATCTACAATTTCATTTAGAAAGAGTCAAAGTCTAAAGTTTAATAACATTCCATTTATAAATATTAAAAAAATATATATATTGTTTTGTTATTTTTAATCTACCTGTTATCTTAATGACTTAATTGTCATTTAAAATAACAATTGACATTAATAATTATATTTAATTTTATTTATAAACACCTCAGTATTATAAACCAATGAGTTATATTGTTTGATAAGGTTTTAATCCTTATTGTATTTCTAAATGGTTTTTTTTTTCAAATATTTTCTGACATTTAAGATAGGTACAGATAATAAAATTTGAAGTCAGAAACTTATAATAAAGGCAAGTTATGGGTTTCCATTACGATTTTTGTCGATTAACTGTTTCCACATTTAAGTTTTCCCTGGAGATCATTTTTAAGCCGATATTTCATGTAATTTTCAATAGATTTGGTAGTTATATTGAAATTAAAGTTTTAAATGCATTCGAAACTCCCAGGCTGCAAATATTAATGGACTCAATTTCATTGTAATATATAATAAATACAAGTCTGTATGAAACTAATATTTTTCCGATTATTTTATTATTTTAAACTACATACTCCCGACGTTTCGGTTACTTTGAAGCAATCGTGATCACAGGCAGACGAGATTTAATAAAATACGCATAATAATCCGAAATACTCGCGAAGTTACATGTCTTTATAAGTCTGTATGCGTTAAATATGTCTGTATGTGTGTATGAATGAATTTAACTTTTTTTTTCATTATTACCTGGATCTGTGACTAAGTGTTGGCGGCCTCGTCTGTCCTATTTCCGCGTCAATCTCCTGTTGAAGTTTCCTCTGTATGCTATCATTTCTAACTATATGTAGCAACATGAATACAGCCGTGTTGTTAACTGTTTCAACTCCCGCTTCAAGGAGATCGAGACATATCACCTGAAGCTCCTCATCGCTGGCTGTTAAAAATACTTTCACTTAACCATGAACGAATATATATTTTTTATCTTTATTTAAATGGATAAAGAAATTACTGTTCGTCAATATACATTACAGATTTAGTTTAGTTTTCTATTGTGCCTGAGTATCAAAGAAAAACAATGAAAATGCTAATTATGTACTAAAAAAATAACCTTCGTTCTACTCTTTTAGAGTTTTTTATGTTTTCGATGGTACGATTGTATTGAAATAAATAGGTAGTATTATTTTAATTATTTTAAATAATAAATAATCTTTGTAAATAATGAATAATCTTTTAGTAATACTTAAAATTTGGACATAGCAATAATATTGCCCAATATCTAAGAAGAATGGGTTTTGGCATTAAATAAAAAAAAATGTTATTTACATAAATAATAAAGCAAAATCAGACAAACGAAAGTCATAAAAAAATTACAATACTATCAATAAACATCAATCACGAGTTACAATCGATATGAACTGCATTTTTTTTCTCGTATAGCGTCAATTGGTCTCATTGAGTATTGTAGACAATTGTAAAAGTTCTAGAACGTACTTACTAAGCGACTGTTGTTCCATAGAGTCTATCAGGAACACATCGATGACGTCTCTCGGCTTGTGTACGTCGATAGTAGCCTTGTGTTCCTCTATTGTGTTCTAAATTTAAATTCAGATTAGATTTCAAGTACAATACATACGCCTCGTGGATTTGAATAGAACGGGTGGATTTGAATAAGCCGGGTGGATTTGAAAGTTTAAGTTATTGATGGATATCATCATAAATTTGAGTTCCTTATTGAAATAATCGAGTTATTTATTATATAATATGTTTTTACGTTCGTTATGTCGTAATTATATCGAACACTTATGTTTTTTTTTTGCGATAAAGAAGTTATTTAATTAGGATGACTATATTGACCTTATTCTAACATTATATTTGTCTCTCTCTCTCTCTTTATTTTTAACTTACCTTTAGAAAATCGTACAAGGTGTTATGAATGTTTTTCAGTTCTGTATATCCAATTAAATTTGGCATTATGAATCTCAGGAAGGGTAAGAAATTTAATATACCCCCACTCATGTCGGCTACCTTGAACGATTGGGTTATCAAATTGCACAGGGCCAATAATTGCTTATCTTTTAAATTATATCTACAAAAATTTAACATTTTTAATTGTAAATTTTATTAAGATAATTGTAAATGTTTTTGGAGACAAAATTTTTTGGAACTGTTTTAAATAGATTTAATTTAATCTATTAAATTAGCTCTTTATTTAAAAAAAATATCCCTTTCCTATATGTTTATAGTGTATTAAGTACGTAAATATACAAACAAAACGTTTTAAAGTATTAACCTCCTGTTTGCCGCGTCGCGGCGGTGATTAAAAATATAAAAATGTATTGGGTTTTTTAAGTGTGCTTCTAGATTTACGCTTTAACTGTTTCCTTAACCTACTGCAGAATAAGTCATAAGAGGTATCCAACATGCAATGAATATTTAATATTAATCGAGCAATTAAATTCTTGTATAAATTATAAGTAAATGGATATTGGCTGTATATCAAATGTCAATGTTTAAAAAATAAGCTCCTGTCACTAGAATAACAAAGTAAAATTGTAATATCAATTTCTTTTTATCTTGATGATGTAACAATCTATTTCGGTAAAAGATTTTTTATCATCAGCTGTTCTGATTGTAGATAAAAGATAATATTCATTTAACAATACCCTTACCAATATCTATATGTATACGTATATTAAAACTCCTTTGTATTACCTTTTTCCCGCGACCAATTTCCACAGAATATTGACAATTGAAACGTCAAACATCCGATTGATAATGACGGTTTTTCCAGCATCCTGTAATCTCAAATCGACGAGAGCTTTGCACTCTTCACTGATAATAGTCTCCATTGCGCGGGAACCATAGCCAAAATTCTTTAAATATTTCAAAACTGTACGTCTGGTTTTGTTCCATACTCGGCCATCGGAAAAAACAAGCCCTGAAATATTTAAAGTTGTTTCCTTGAATGATTGTCACCAGGGGATATTTATCGAAATACGACTGTAAAATAATGCTATCTTTGTTATCGATTTCCTAAGTGAGTTGATAATTAAGCATGTTTGTTTTATTATTTTAATGACGTCTCAGTAATAAACATTCATTAATTACGTCGTTATAACCACGCCAAGAATGCTTAGCACAAGTTATATACGAAACGTTTGCCGTTTCCATTTAATAACTACATATATACACTAATATGGGAAGACTTATTATTGAAACTGTCAACGCTGCGTTTGTAGTATGAAACTGCAAACATGTATTAATGATGGTTATATTAAAGGTGAAAGTATTGGATTTTGATTACGGAACATCCGTTAATTACTTGAGCTGAACCTTCCATTCTGGCTATAGTGAGACTTTTAACTTGACTTATAAAGTGACAATTAATTAGGTATGCGTAGTTGTCAAAAGACTAAATTAATAAAAAAAATATCATAGCGTTAATGTGTTTTAATATTTATATGGATTTATTAAAATTTCTAAATTAAGAGCATGATATGTATGTTTTTGGGATATAAGTAAAATTATTTATATTTTGCAAAAGTTAACGGTAGTTTTTCAATTATTTCTCTCAATTTATATAAAACTTAATGGGATTTCAGTCGACAGCTCGATTTTAAGTTCACGTAAGTTATGTGTGTTTAAATGCACATTTGTTTGTGATATATTCGTTTGGAGCTTATGTATTTTTTTTAGGTTAGCATAAGAAATTATTTAAAATAGTAGTTGTGTAACAAAGTTGTCCAATTTTATCCTGGCTAATAAACCATTTTTACGTTTAATAACATCTGTATATACCTATAGTTTAACGATATCACTGATTAAAAGACTTGTAACGCCACTAATAAAAATAAATACATATATAATTTATCCTCAATAACTAACACTAGTAGATAATAAAAACCTTTTCGCTTTTATAATTGAAGTGAGGATGATATTCAATTTATAATGCAATTAAAAGCATTAATGCACTTATAAACATATAACAAAAAATCTATAACAATGTAGACGGAAAAAATACAATATTAATGAACAAAATAAAACTGATCATTTACTGCAAAAAAATTGCTTACCAATTTTTTTTCCAAATGATCTCATGAGATAAAAAAATCCATCGGGTCTCCCATCAAACACATCGCGGCTCAAAACTTCTTTTATTAAATCCTTGCCAGATATAATTACGATATTTACAAAACCTAGACGAAGACCCAGAATATTTCCATAAACTTTCGACCAGTGTTGCCATACTTTATGGTAATACTTAACTTTCCTCACTTTTAGCCAAACCGATAGTAGATTACCCACAATTGGCATTAAAGTTGGACCTAAGGAATATTTTAACTCTCATATTTTAAGGAAAAATAAATTACTATTTGATTCTATTTACCAACCTGGAGGGTAATGAAGCGGTTTTTGTATGAGATCTTTTATGATTATTAAAAATAAAATAAATATGATTAGGGGCCACATCGCTTACGGAGAGACAGAAAACACTGAAAGACTAGGAGTGTTGACTGCTCAGGATTTTGAAGATTAAATCTCAAGGCTTGCGTAATACCATTAAATATTCATTTGTTATATTTGAGTATAAGTATATTTCAAATATAGTGTCGTACATGAGGATAGCGTCGGTTGTAAAAGACCCGCTTGCAGTAAAACATTTTAGCCTGTTAGATATCGCAAGTTAGTATTTTGTTAATATGAGATTTTGACATTCGATATGAAAGACAAGGTTTAATATTTTCGCGGGTGTGCATTTAAATAAAACTAATATTTTTGGATACTACAAATTTTATATTTGATCTCATATCGAAAATTTTATCTCATCTGCCCGTAAGCACGGTTGCTGCAAAGTAACCGAAACGTGGGGAAATAATAAAATCTAGATACCTCAAACAAAACTTTTGAATATTAATATAACTGTATTATAGAACCTAGTAACTCTGTGGCAGACTTTTCAGCTTTTTTCACCATTCTTATTCCATCTTCTTCCTTGTTTTCAAAAAATCGTGTCATTTTACCACTCCTTACATTTCTTTGTATTTTCTTTCCTTCCTTTTTATATTTACCAATTTATTTTCTCCCAAACATTTTGATTTCATCTCATCTAAACATTACTTTGTAAGTTTAATATATACTATCTTCCTTACAAACATTCTCACTACGTTCTTACACGTGTTCCATTTTAATCATGTCGCGTTCCAATACTCCGTAAAATGTTTCCTCCTTTTGTTCCGTTTCATGTATACTGGTATGTATTTTTATTGAATGAACAGTATAATCAATAGATCTCCTGCCATGAGTTTGAAAACATCCCGCATCTACCAACGTAGTTAACATTTTTTTTTTCTTCGAAAATATTCGCCATGTCGTTAATCGTGTGCGTAGCAAAGTTACCTATCTGTTTATTAACAAAATGTTATAAGTTTCTAAAATTAATATTTTAAAATATCTTAATTTGAGTCAAAAGCTTATCTAAACTTTTGAATTAAAAAAGAGATGTACTGCATAGAGATGTCTTGGTTCCTTTTTTGGACCTGATAAAGTAAATTGTGCTCAAAATATTAATTTATAAAATAATAAAATACGAGAGATTTGTAATGCATGGCTTTGAGGCAATGTACTTAAGCTAAAAAAAGTAGAAGAAGACGAAAAATTTATTTCAAAAACTATTTCTTTTACTAACTGTATTTCCGATAAGTATATATGTATGGATTTTTTTTACAACGGAAATTACGGATTTGCTGGAAAATTGATGTATCTATTATGGACAACTTAAGATCCTTTTAAAACATTCAGGTACGTCAAAAAAATTATCACAATATTTCATCTATTTTAACATGACGCGAAAATGTTGGAATAATACTTTTAATAAGTTTAAAAATAAACACAATCCTAATGATCAATCAAATATTGGAGTATATTTTCAATGTCAAGCAGTAATGTAAAAATCATTGGTCGTGGGAAATAATTTAAGTACAAAATATTGAAATTTTATAGAAATTGGAGTTTGAATGGAAATTTAGAAAATTTAAGCAATGCTACTTAAATGGGAATGGTTATATAATCATTACTTTACTTCCTAAATTCATACGGTGTTTGATTTGAAACAAATATATGAAATTTAAAAATTATGATAAAAATATTTAATCACAGCGTCTTAAAACATATTTGAGGAAAATTAATTATACCTATATTTTATTAACTTGCTTTCAACATTTACATACTTCGTTAGAAAATAATAGAATTAATATAAGTATAAGTAAAGTATTAAATAAAACAACAATATTAAATATTTCATAATGTAAATTGTAAAATATACAAAATAGTTAATATTTCTTTCTCGAAATTATTACAAACAATACAAACTTGAGCTAAATAACTTATTCATTTTCAATTGTAATGACAATAATTATTTCGTTTTCATGTATTTTTTATTATAATTATATTGTTTCGCAATAAAAACTTAACCCCAATTATGCAGCTTACTTTGTAATTTACCACGGAACCCTGAGATTGTAAGTCGAACTTGTACGGAATTCATTTTCTTATAAAAAACTCTTAATTGTCCGGATATCGTACGTCATAAATATTTAATCATTCGACAATTTAACGTCACACGTTACATGAAATAAATCTAGTGAATTAAATCACAATGTTTTGATGAAATGTTATTATGTTATTTGAAATTATACAAATAATGTTTTTTTATATATATAAAGATAAGGAAATTTTATATAACAGAGGTCTCCAACAGAGTTCGCTTATAACTTACACGGCCTTACACGAACTAGTTTATATAAAACTGTACGAGAGTATAAGATATCGCATTTGACGTTACGTTATCGACCATAACAGGCTGATCGATTATAATTTATCGAAAAATCGTAATAATAATTGTGTAGTGATGGCTCCAGTGAACGCTGATATTGTTAACGGTAGCAAGGTGACTTCACCTGTCAAGAAAACACTACCCGAAGTTGAAGACAATGGAAAAAGGTTCGTCATTCATAAATTATTTCATATATAAAATGTTTCTTAAACAACACTTGACGCGAATGTATCAACGAGGGTTAATTGAAAAATATTATACCGAGAAATCAGTTGATTTGTGAATTCATTGGAACGTCAACAGTTATTTAATTGTTTATTATGATAAGACCGTTCTTTAATGATACTAACCATTTTATGTTTCTAGAAATACGTTGATAACTTCATAAATGGAATAATCTTTTATACAAATGGACGATTGTTTTGTAAACTAAATGATCATAAATATATTTTTGGTCACAAATTTAGAATAACATTTGTATATATAAGAACTTCTTCATAGCTTTTGTGATAATCATTTAAAATATTGCATATTTATACAATTTTGTATTACACTTATTAATGTAAATTTTATAGTTCTTATTTTTTATTAACTTGTTCAAGTAATGTTCTTTTATTTATTCCCATCTTAGTGTTCGAAAAGGGATCATTAATCATATAAAAGCATTAAGATTTCTTCACTGTCCATCATAAATAACATACATTTATATGGCCTTTATAAAAACGCGTTTTAGACAGGTTCGTAAAAACTAAGTTATTTTCAGTCTCGATGTAAAACTGGTATTGTATGGTAACATTCTTCTCGATTCATTTTAGCTAAAATATTCAAATTAAAATAATTTATTATTAAAAAAAGTTAGTCCTTGAAATAAATTTTTAACACTATTCTGTGTTTCTTTTTAAAGTAAATTTATTGCTTAAAACTGCTAATAGTAAAGTAATGAATCTGTTTGTCTGCCTTTGTGTTTCTTTCATATTATAATTTAGCTGTATTCAAGGCTAGTGTGAATACACTGTTACTAAGATAGTACGTTCACCATTACTTACTACATCATTACCACCAGCGAATGCGTGGAATCACAGTCATGCATAAGGCAGTCGAAATGTATAGATACACACATTAACACACATTTAATATATATAAATATATTTTAAGCACTAAAACAATATGTTTTATCTATTTATGGCAGTAACCAAAAACGTCTGATATTACATAAAATAGTAGGATATTTTTGCGACTCGTTTTTTTTGAGTTGAAGTTTTAAATAACATATACCATATGACAAATATATAACAATAACATATAACAAATACCAAAGTATTTGTTATTTTTCAAATTGCTTTTATAATTATCAACAGTTTATCGAATAAGATGTAACACAGATAACAAAAACATGCGAAGAAATTCACAGACACGTAATAAAAAAAACTATTTATCCTTACATAAAATGTGTTTCAAAATTAATTATCTATTTATTTATCTTGTGACTTGTGAGTCATTTTCATATCCCCTTAGCTTTATATCAATAAGAGAATTAATAAGTGTTTAATTGTATGAACAAAGTTGGAGACAAAAATAAAGGTCATACGAATGTTACAAAGGATTATTATTTTTATTTTCATACAAGTTTCGACCTTTTCGACTCTTGAAATATCAAAATTAAATAAACCTTTTATTAAGCAAATTATTGTGCAATATGTAAATAGTATAGCATCATAAACAATTAGACTTTATCACAAAACAAACTAGTGTAAGAATGAATGAATGAATACGTATTAATTGAATGAATGAATGTATTGATTAATACTTCAAGATTACTTATGTTTTAATAATTATTGTTTCAGATATTCATATGAAATGCTCGTGGAGACAGCAAACTTCCTGTTATCTAAAACCGATGTTCGTCCCGTCATTGGTGTTATTTGCGGATCTGGGATGGGTTCGTATTGGAACGAGGGTATATATACCAGAATTATTATAATTAAGCCTTAGTATAATTACGTTGCATTCAAAAAGCCAATCAATTTTACGTATAATACGCAATCAGTTATTATTATTGCACAAGTTCTGATGCAACATCTTGTAAATAAGTTTCTTGTTATTATTTTTTACAAGCTCTAAAAGATTTTACATTTGTATCTTTAAATTCAAATTGTATAACAAAAACTTAATACTATTCATACTTAAACTACATCCTACTCTAGACGATAGTATCTATAGGTACAATTTTATTTATGACCAAAAAATTAAGGCTTTTACTAATTTATATTACAAAAAATACTCATTTAAAAGTTCTTAATGTAAGAAATAATACATAATAATATCTACTTATAGTTAAAATATCAGTGTCAGCCATGGTAATAAGACTAACCGTAGTCGTGTTGAAATAACTGCGACTTCCACATAACTGACCTAGGCTATCATTATAAGCGATCTTCGTGAGAAATAGCTACTAAACTTGTTTTGTCCGCAACCCTTCGTTAATTATATGAATAGTTCTTTCATCTACATTATATTTAATAACTACAAACTACACGACCAACAAAATGATTACAGTAAATAGTATTATTATTAACATAAAATGGAACTTGTAGAAGTAATGATTGTTAAATGTTCGTGCAGTTTTTTTCAAACTACAATTTGTATTTATATAGGTTCACTAGCTGAGAACATCTCGCAACCTGAATGTATCGCTTATGAAGACATACCAAATTTTCCTATCAGCACAGTTGAAGGTCATCATGGAAAACTAGTTTTTGGATATATTAGTGATGTTCCGGTTGTTGCTATGCAGGGCAGATTCCATTACTACGAAGGATACCCTCTTTGGAAGGTTTGTCTTTCATAATATGTTTGTTACTAAAATGACTTAAACTTTAATACTTTTTTTTCATTTAGTCCTTTTCTGACCAGCTAAGATCTTTGCCATACTGCCTAATCATTAGCATTTTTTGCCAACTTTGATCTTAATCAGTTTAATATAAAACTTTTTCTTTATCGAAAGATGTAATCTATCAACAACAAGTTTTACTTTTTTAATAAGGTCGAATCACGAATGTCATTATACTTCGTGTTTTTTTTTTCGTTGAATAACATTTATTTTTAGAACATACGAACATGGTATTAATATTAAAAAGTGGTGTACATAAATGTCACCTGTTATAAAATATGTCATTATAATATCATTATACGTAAAACATGATAAAAAGTTAAGAATTCCTTTGAATAAAGATTAAGATATTATAAATAGTCGGCCATCTTGTAGAATTTAATATGTTCAAAAATGAATTGAGGAAATAATTTTCTTATTATTTGAATTAAACTGTATATAAAATTGAAAGGATTTATTACGAGATTTTAATGGAATGTTTATGTGGGTGATGCAAAGTTACTTAGAGGTGTCTCGGTCCCCAGTAGAGAGGTTATCAATGATAACACCCAACGAATAAATCATATTTTATCACAACAGCCGGGTATTTAATGAAGTGATAATTCGTGGGTGTGATTTAAAAACAACTATGGTAACGAGTTCTCATAATTTTTTACTATCCCTTATTATCTTTCATATCTTAACACGTTTGGAATCCTTTGGGTTAATGACACTTGATCTAACGCAATAAACGATTTTCAGTAATGACTTAAACCGGTTAGATTATTGAACAAGTTGAGATTTGACTTTATAATCTATGGAATTTTTTGACTCTTCATTATTCTAACCATTACATTTTAAAGAGAATTTAAAGCCACGGCCTTCATAAATTATTGAAAGTTTTTCTGTAATTTAACGTAAATCAATTTCTTTGTCTACAATTGCAACCTTAGAAAATAATTAAAGTTTTGTGAATATTTATAATTACTAGTACTTTCGAGGTTCAACGATGTTTAAGACGTAAAACAAACTTTTGAACAGTTGTTAAAAGAATTAAAAATAGCTTATGAATGTTTTATTAATAAACTTTTTTTTTCATAGTGTTGTTTGCCAGTACGAGTTATGAAACTTCTCGGTGTAAAAGCATTGATTGCGACGAATGCAGCGGGAGGTCTGAACCCAAACTACAAAATTGGGGACCTCATGATTGTGAGAGATCATATTAATATGATGGGTTTTGCTGGAAACAATCCTTTACATGGACCCAATGACGAACGCTTCGGTCCACGATTCCCACCGATGAACAAAGCCTATAATTATGAGTTCAGAAAAGTCGCTAAAGAGGTTTGTCAAATGATTTTAGTATACACAGAAATAAATAGTATTAATAAAAATATGCCAACAATTCTTTGAAGAGATACCGTGTTTTTAGCATATCAATTGTTCGTTTACAATTTAATAGTAACCTTGGGTTATCTTAGGGTTACGAACGTCAATGGAATCTTATTAAAAGAAGAAAAGATAATGCAAATGGAGATACAGAACACAAACATGTTACTTATATTATCTATGTTATTATATCTAAAAATGAATACAGTAGTTAATAAATTCGGGTTTTTAGGACTCAAAGATGTTTGTAAACCGAGGATTTAAATTCGATATAATAAGTAGATTATTGTTTTCAGGTGGCTAAAGAATTAAACATTGATAACATGGTAAGGGAAGGAGTGTACACTTGTTTAGGAGGACCAAACTTTGAAACTGTAGCAGAATTAAATATGTTGAAAATGCTGGGTGTGGATGCTGTTGGCATGTCTACTGTTCACGAGGCAAGTTTAATTATATAAATGTTGTGTATTTCTTTAAAACAGAATTTAAAATTCCTTTCAAAGTAATTTAAACATATTTATCCCTACTAATATTATAAATGCGAAAGTAACTCTGTCTTTCTGTCTGTTACGCTTTCACGTATAAACCACTGAACTGATTTTAATGAAATTTGGTACAGAGATGGAGTTGACCTTGAGAAAGAAAATAGGGTAGTTTTTATCCCAGACTTTTGAAAGGTTCTCTTGGAAACGCGGTATAACCGAAATCCACGCGGGCGAAGCTGCGGGCGGAAAGCTAGTTATGTATATGTAATGAATTTTTAGTTTGTAACAAAATGTTTAAAATAATTATTTTATTTTTCTAGGTCATAACCGCGAGACACTGCGACATGAGTGTGTTCGCTCTGTCTTTAATAACGAATGAGTGTGTCACAAGCTACGATCATGATGCTGAAGCGAATCACGAGGAAGTTTTGGACGTTGGACGTATGCGACAGGACATACTTAGGGATTACGTGTCCAAACTAGTTAACAGATTCGTAAAATATTTACCTCAAAACCCTTGAATCCGTTTTTGAAAGTGACGTTGAGAACTATTTTGACATTTAATACATATTCGCTATTTTAACGAATATGTGATTTCAATATTTTTATGTTACAATCTAATATGGATTTACTTTATAAGGATAAACGATTTTCTTGTGCTGTTTAAGTTATTTTAATAATGATTAAGTTTATAGAAACTCGAAGCGATGTTAGTTGTAATAAGCTGTAATAATTTGTAATACAGACAATAAATGATACGATTATAATTTCTCTACTTATTTATTAATTTTGTTACGATTTAATCTCTTATTTCATAACAATAAATAAATTTTACATCAACAACATTAAATTCGATTTAAAGTAAGAAATTTTATTATTTCGTTGTTTAACAAAAACTCATTAACATAAACCAAACAAGTTTGTACTTTCGAGGCGCTAATAATAAAATTTTGCTTTTTTTGTATCGCTCTTAATTTAACCTTGACAGTATACAATATTTATAATACATTATTATTGCCTTCATATTTTAACTGAGAACTTATAAATAAAATCAAGTTTTGTTCAATAATTTGGTGGGATTTTATAATTTAATTTTTTGAGAATAAATGTGCACATTCTGCGCAAGCTTCGTCTATTGTGCGATATTTGTATTGGAAGCCATATTCCAAAGTTCGTTTTGGCACAACATATTGACCTTTTGTCAACATCATTGCCCTTTCTGGATTCAATAGAAGGTTTAACGAAAATTCTGGTACAGTGAAGAACGCAGGACGAGACAACGCTTTAGCGAACGACTGGAACAAATACATATTATATAATATTTAGCTGGAGAAATACATAATTGGGTCCATTTTTATTTGATTACGAAAAGAATTTCAAAATTTAGATACCTATTACAGAAATTCAAGAGGTCGAATTTATTTATTTTTTGCCCGCGATTTTGTTCGCGTGTTCTTTGTTATTACTTTCTGAGAGAAATAATGAATAGATAATGTGTGCTGAAGAAACTGGCAGCTTCCATCATGTCCAAGTGACAAAAAAAAAACAACTGTTATTATATGTTTCCAGAAATTTAGTTACTATGACAAAAGTATAACATATGATATTCTTTAGCATATGTTATACTTTTGTCTCGACTAGAAGATTGTAGTTTCATTAAAATCCCTTGATAGTTTTTAGTGTGAAAGGCCAACATATATTACTTTTTTTTAACACATGTAGGGTATACATACTATAATATTACCTTAGTAAATTCTGCATTCGTAATAACCTGAGGAGCCACACCATTTAAGACTCCTGTGACACATTCATTTTCTATAGCAAATTGTATCAGTCTAACGAGATCTTCTATATGGATCCAGGGCAAGAACTGTTTACCGGATGCTATGGGACCACCGAGGCCTAAGAAAAATGGTAGTATCATATTCTTTATCATACCACCTTCACGACCAAGTACAACACCTGATCGTATAATAACCTGAAAATATGAGGTCAATGAACTTATTCCCGTTTATGTAAGACATGAAATTAAGCAAAAATGTGTGTACCTTTTATGTTTTAATTTTATATGTATAGATATCGCATTAAGTAACAAGGATATATTTAAATGAAATTTTTCTTATAAGTAGTTTTAACAAGAGAAAAGTCTTACAAAACAAAATAAAAGTGCAAGTGTAAAATGCGACTAAACTAGTCATATTAAAATTACTGAGACAGATATTAAGATTTAATGTTATTTCAAATATTTAAAACACTATTCTTTATTGACATATCTAAGTCTGTAAAGTCTGTTTTGTTGGATCTTAAAAAATATTAGTAAAACAACAATATCACACAGGAATTACACAAAAGAATTGCAATATTTCATATATATAATAATTTAATTTATCAATGAAAAAGTACTTGAAAAAAGTCAAATTACATATTTTTCAGATTAATATTGACAATTTGCATAGTTTAAAGATTATCATGAACTCTTGTAATAGAGCAACAAGATAAGTTGTTGACCTTTATCAAACATTTTATAGTAGATAATGATGATAAAAATCTCTATTAGTGGGTCAAAATTTTTATGGTTTTAATTAAGGTGTTGCCATATATAAACTTTTAAAAAATTTAAACATATTGGCATAATAGTGAACAAAAATTAGAATTTTGTATATATTAATACATACTCTACAATATTTTCTTAAATTGTAATAAAATTTCTTACCAGCCTCACGGGTGGGTCAACTTTTGCGGCTTGTTCCCATTCAACCAGTAATTTAGAGAAAAAGTCAGTGCCTGTTGTAGGACTTGATTCATCATACTTTATAGTCTCTGATGGCTCGTAAGCACCTACTCCGGTGATCAATACAAACACTCTCGGTTTATCTTGGCTTTTGTTAATAGCGCTTGCAATTGCTTTTGTTGTGTATACTCTGGATGTTTTCACATTTTGTTTAAAACTGAAATTGAACAAAGATATGCATGTATTTTTATACATCGGATTTCAATAAAGAAGTCAGTGATGGGAGAGTCATTGATTGAATTGAAATTTCAAGTAACATACCCTGGTGTCCACATTTTAGTGAAATCCATGAACTGTTGACCTGCCAGATTTACCACAGCACATGTCTGTGAAGGTAATCCTGAAGTCTCCAAAGTAGACCAGGAAATATTGTTGGCAGCCGGCATACGAGAAATGTTCACCACACAATAGTTGTTAGCTTTTAGGAGACTATTTAAACGAGTTCCGACAAAGCCCGTTCCTCCACCTGAAGGTAATTATTGCAATAATACAAATTACCGTATATTAATAACTGTTTCTATACAGTATTGTTTTTACCAATCAAAACTTTTGTAGCCGCCATAATTCTTGAAAGGTTATGTAATGTTGGTTATTTAACACTATGATAATAATCCTTATAAAATATAAAAGTATAATGTATTTTCGATTTTTTTTTGTCGAATAATGTTTATTTATTTACAGTTTAATATTGTTCAGATTTTTTTGATATTTTGTGTTTACCGGAACAGCTGTTAGTGACATATTATGTATAACGATGTCATTTTAAATCTGTACGCGTTTTTCGTTTTACGCTTGTAGGAACGTCTTACTCCTTACACTAACATTTGAAATAAATAAATAAAATATCAAAAATTAGACATGATGGATATTAATTGTTATTTACGTCTTAATCAGGTTTAGATAAGGAATAATCCTAACTTTTGTTCCGTCTGACTAGGTGCATAGTATTCAGTAGATACCCAGTCAATAGTTACTGTCAACTGTCAGTGTGTCAACAATCGTCTCTCAGTTGATTATTTATTAGATTTGAAAGTCTATTTATTTTTTGGAAATGAATTCTTGAACCTATATAAACCTAATTGAAGGTGACAATGATTCCTTTATATGTTAATAAAGGCGTCGCTTATGTTTGGAATGCTGATGGTATTTCTTTAGATTATAGAGAAAATACATTTGATATAATTTTTCTTTTAAATTGATATAAAAAACATTTTTTTTAGATTGGCATACTCTACGAACTAGTCATCGAATATGTGGTGCTCTAATAGGATCACTTCCCCCGTTTCCTCGCCAGAATGATTTTCAAGGTTCAATATTTATAATTACTTTGTTGAAAAATTCAAGATTTGATGTCTTTAACAATAATATTTTATAACAGGCTTACCAATGGCTTTAATGTCAGTGGAGGCTGCGTTTTTGGTTGAAAAAGGTATCTGTGAGCTGATAGAATTGCCTAATATTAATGATGAACTATCTCCAGCACAGAAGCAACAGATAAAAACAATGGAAGAAGGGTATTTATTTTAATTATATTACATGTTGTAAATCATATTTGAATTATATTAAACCTTATTTGTTGATAATAATGTAAATGAATAATTTTCTATAGAATATTCAAAGATCAGAGTGAAGCCATGCATAAGAAGAGAGTCGAGCAAATGTCGCAGAAGATTGATATAATTGTTGCTGGCAAAGTGCAGAAATTGAAGGCCAAAGGAAAAACTGGCAAGTGAATTTATATGAACTTTGTAAAAATATATGTATTACAGTTGATAAGATGGTTTTATTACAGATGTTGAAATTGACAAGGAAGCACTATTAAAGGAGGAAATAAATAAATTACCGATTTTGTCACCTAATTATGCCTTGGTACATTTACCAACTGAGCATTACATAAATACAGGTAGTTCAGATATTATACTAACATTGAATTTAAAAAATATACATATATATTTATATACTAGCTTTCCGCCTGCAGCTTTGCCCATGTGGAGTTCGTTTATATTGCATTTCCAAGAGAACCATTCAAAAGTCTAGGACAAAAACTATCCTGTTTTCTCTCAAGGTCAACTCTATCTCTGTACCAAATTTCATTAAAATCAGTTCAGTGGTTTAGGCATGAAAGTGTAACAGACAGACAGAGTTACTTTTGCATTTATAATATTAGTAGTTATTTTTCTTTATTTTTAATAACTGGAACTTTTATAGGTACATACATGTGCTAAGTATGTTATAATCAATTTACAAATCTCATTTCCAGTGAAAAGAAAAGTCCAAATAAATATTCTACAACCAAGTATTTTGGACCAAGCCGGATCTATTCACTATGCAATATTCAAAGACTTATGGGAGAAGGGGCATTACATCACCAATGGTTTAAATTTTGGATCAGACTTTCTTGTTTATCCTGGTAAATAACTGATTTTTTTTAATATCTCCTATTACCTTAAAAATGCAAAGTTAGAATTATGTCTTATAGTTATTCAATAAACTATAGTTTATTTTGACCTGTTGAATTGGTTGAATATGTTGTATTTATCTGTACTTAAGAATACTTTTATCAAAATTGAATTGAAATAATATATCCATTTTTGCAGGAGATCCAGTGAAATTTCATGCAACTTACATGGTGCGATGTATCAACAATTCCAAACAATGTTTTCAACCACCAAGTTTAGTTGCATTCGGTAGACTCTCAGTAGCGGTTAATAAAATGGCTGTACTAGCTTATTGTAGTGATTATGGTAAAATTGAATACCAAACACTACAGTGGCATGATAGCATTAATGGTTAAGTTTTATGGCTTTTTTGGATTATGAATGGGGATTGTTTGTGAGCTCTGAATGTGTAATAATGTATAAGAAAATTGTATTATGTGAAGCAGTTGTTTTCGTTGCATCCCTATTCATTTCTGTTTCTAACTATGCTAAATATAATGACTACAAATGTACTTAAATTATTTATGGATAAGTGTGTGAAGGGTGATTATTTTATCATTTAATTTATGGGTAGACGAGATGTAAATGTCACACGATATATATAATCATAGTTTCATAAATGGTATACATTTTTGCAAAATCCTAGATGTCATAACAAATCCCATTTTAAAGTTCTCATATGAAGGATACTTGTAGTTTTTACGTTTATATTTTATCTGCAACCAATTTCTAGACTGTCAGACTTTGTGTAATACTTAAATACATTTATATGACTTAAGGAAATTTCAACTTGCGATTTTTCGTATTTTTTTTACAATTTTCCAGATGATAAGCAATACATAAATGTCAGTGAACAGGAATTAAATATAGTTAGAAAACCATCAAATTCTCCACACTTCCCTCTGGTGGCTAATTCTCTGAACGGCCGTAGTATAAGTTCAAACGAAAATGGGCTTTAATAATGAAGAAAGGCTATGTATATATACAGGGCGACTGGTGAATTACTATCAATATTTAAGGAGCATACTCGGTACATGATTCTCATTCGAATTATGTAAAAAAAATAGGTACTTAATTTTTGACCAAATTTCCGTATAAATAAATAAAGTGTGTACACGTTCCAAGTGTTCCAAGTGTGGACGCGTGCGGCGGCGTGCTGATACAACAACACGCCGCCGCGCGCGTATGTGTGAGTGTGTGTGTATACCTAATCTGTAGGGTGTTCATACGATGCGTAATTAATTACATAACTTTTGTTAACTTTACTTAGAAGTTTATTAATATTTATGTTATATTAATTTTTATTTTGTCATATATGATCGTCAAATATCACGTCCTCAAATATCGATAGTAATTCACCAGTCACCCTGTATAAAGATACATCGCCCTCGATTGTAAAATATAACAGAAGTTAGTCACACTAACAATAAAGGTCATAAATGTTACTTACGCGTAACATAATGAAAAAATAAATGAACATCGTTGTATAGATAAAATATTATATGACGAGTGACGTTGCTGACTCCGCGGATCGAACTCCAAGTCGTGTGAACCAAAAGATTCCTGATCCCACACAAGCAATGGAATGTCATTACTATCCTAACTCAGGTGTAGGTTATAAGTTTTAATATGTAATTCTTATTATAATATACATATAAGTAAGTTTCGTAACTTTTCTGGAACCTCTGGTTGTCAGCCTACATAATTAAAGTATAAATACTAAACATAACACAATTTAAGTACCCTTGTGGTAGACATTTCCAGACCTTCCTGGAAAGTGAGCAGGATATCATGTTTAGCAAATAAATAGTATTGGAAGAAACAGGCTGTTTATAAACTCGAGCAAACTTAGTCTTAGATGAAACTTTCAGCTGAATTGTAATTTCTGCCTTAAAATTTGATGTTGGGGCTGCCTCGGTTCTGTAGTGCCTCAGGTATGTTTACAAAAGAAAGAACTGATGGATTTCAAGCCATCATACGCAAGAGGCTAGCTTCATCTATAAGCAGGTTGCGGGGCAGCTCTAATAGCATTCTGCAAGTAATTGCCGACAGGTACGACTCAGACATTCTGAAGACCTACCTGCGTGCCCATGTGTGATGATGCTGTGTGCTTATTTTGTGTTATTTATTTATTTATTTTTAGTGTTCCTATCCTATTTTATTTTATTTTCTATTATTTTTTGTACCCTATGGAATATGTGTTCAAAATAAAGATTATTATTATTATTAAAATTGGAAGCAAAACGTAGTTATAAGCTGATTGAATATATAGGAAAGCATTCAGTAGATATTGATCTTTTCTGAAAGTTTTTCGAATATCAGTTGTTAAAATGCCTATGCTGTGTCCTGTTAATAAAAGCCAAATTAAGATTTAGGTAGATCTCCACTTTCAAGAATTCGTACTAAAGTCTAAACTGTTTTGAATTATTCCTTTTTAATAAGACATTTTTCTGTTAGAAGACAGAGCTGTCGGTTTCTACGAATGAGGGAGGTCGGGATCGCTATCAGGTTTCAAAATAAGAAAAATATATGAAATTTTTCAGCACCTGTAAGAAATCCTTTATCAATATATTCATTTGTTACATTAAGAAAAAAATGTTTCGCTTTATTTAAATTAGTAATAGAAGAGTAGGCAATACTCAAGAAAGACCCTTCCTTTATCCCAAACAAAATGTTATTGGTAAAACTGCAATTTTTTATTTGTCAAACTATAGCTGGTGTCAAAGAAATTGACAACCGATGTCATTTTTGTTTTCTAAGTTATCGTTATTTCTTTTCTTTAAGACTGAATTTCAAGTTTTATCTTTTTGATTTTATTAAAAAGGCGCCAATAATCACTTTAAAATGTCTGACCCAGAATTAGAAAAAATTAGACAACAGCGTTTGGCACAATTACAAGCTCAACATGGGGTGAGTTTTATTTTTAGTGTTTGAGGTTATTCGTATTCGATTACCACAATATAAGCTTAGCCTGACGATTAATATAATTTATGCTCAAAAATTACTCCTTGAAATAAATCACAAATCAATTCTTAATCTTATTAAATATTCTTATTGAAAACAAACTGTTTTCTGACATGACTGAGTCACTACAAACGTAAGCACATATGAACATTAAATTGATAGAAATAAGTATAAAATAACATTAAAGACGAACACATTAATTTATTTCAATGAAAAAAAGGTTGAAAATGTAGAATACTTATTATATTTCAGGGTGGTGATCCAAACCAAGCCAAAGCTCAGGAAGAAAGGATGCGGGCAATGGAGGAGACTAAACATTCAATTCTCGCACAAGCACTCACCCAGGATGCAAGAGCTAGATGTAATTGTGTTTTTTTCAGAAATGTTCACAGTCTAATAGAATATGTATCTCCTATTATATGATGCCTCTTTATAATAATGAAATAGTTTAAAGATCTTATTAATATTTTATGTATATATATTTTGAACATTATCTGAATAGCTTATACATATTCCTGCACCACTTGCTTTATTGTTTTTATGAAGATAAATTATGATGATATTAAGTAATTTATAAATTTAAGTAAGAGCAACAAACATATTTTGTGTAAATGTTATGAAACAACTATAAGAATGAAATATCTTTATTAAGGTTATAATTACAGTACTGTTGAAAGTGAAACTTATTGACAGGAAATAAAATAATAGTACATTCATTATTTGAAATAAACTAAATATATTTGTACAATTCAATTACAGTAAACACTATTAAACTGAGCAAACCAGAAAAAGGTGCTATGGTGGAAAACATGATCTGTAGAATGGCTCAAATGGGTCAAGTCAACACAAGAATATCGGAGAAGGAACTTATACAATTACTTGAATCGGTTAATCAGCAGATGCCAAAATCAGCTAGCACAGTTAAATTTGACAGAAGAAGAGCAGCCTTGGACTCAGATGATGAAGATTTCTAGTGAACACTATATGTACATCAGATTTATATGATGTGCACACGATTCCAATATTATGATGCTTCTTAATGATCTTCAATGCTGAATAAGATCATTGGCATAATTTATTATATAAGAACTAGGTTTTATTTATTATTAACATATGTGAAAAACATTATACAACACTCAAATAGTTTTCTTAGTATTTTGATATAGCTGTTGCAATATATATTTTAAAAACATTGCCTTATAAATAATAACTACTTAGTGTAATATTGTCCTTTGACTAATACACAAAAAAAAGAAGTTAATGTGTTGCCTTATAAAAGAGTTTTTTTTAAGTAAATTAGAAAATGGTATACTCTATACAATCTTGTACACTGTTCAGTCTCTTTTAATTCTTATTTTGTCTTGAATGTATTTAACATTTGATTTTACTACTGAGCAATTATTGTTATAATAAATTATTAATGCTAGGCTAGCATTTGGAAATAGTGAAGTTCATAATTTTGCATATTACATCACTCACAGCAAGCTTCAAACTCATTAATTAAAATTAAAGAATAAATAATACTCTGTCTTTATTTATCTCTGCACCAATATAGTTAACCTGCTCTTCCATACCTAGCATAATGTTCCTTAGTTAAAATATTAAACACAGCATATGAAATCTTTTAAATCGTCTTTTCCAGAAGCAAATGATAAAGCAACAATTTTATGAAGCAGAATGTTTAAACTATTGTAATAATACGTGATTTAACTATGGAGCTTACGATCAATGATATCTAATTTCGCTTGTATACACGTAGACACTTTCTTCTCGTTTGCCCGTGATCACGGTTGCTGTAACGGGATCGAAACGTCGGGATTATGAAGTAATAAAAATTAAAAACGTAAAGTATACGAAAAACTTAGTTTCATTTAAAAGAAACTATTTTTTTCTATTCTCTATCAATTTCTTATTGTCATTTATTTTATAATCATAAAGTTTCAGCTTGATTCGACAGACTCAAAATTCACAAAAAAAATAATATCAATTTGTAAGACAAACAAAACAGCGACGTTTGTCTTATTGGCCCTCTAAATTCAATCAACTTGTAAGTAAAACTGATGTGAAAATAAAATATTTAGTTCGAGATTATAAAACTTCTAGAAGGGCAAAGTGTGAAACTTTTACAAAACACAATTACATGGCAATATGTGACCACTTATGATAATAATTATTAATTAGAGATTAGAAGAGATTAAGATATCCTCACAATATCCGAATAAATGAACCCACATGTGACATGACAAACACTAAAGTTGTAAAAACAAAACAAAATATTTTTAAAAATTTATTTCAAGGACTTCTTAATTGACATATCAAAATTGTACTTTGTAATTATATTAATCAAAATACTCTAAGTGTGGTATCTACTAGACACTGTTACCTGATAGAGATTATATAATTACGTGAACTTGATCTGATTAATTAGTTGATAAACAAAGAAAACAACTTGATTGATTCGCAATCGTTTTATGAAAAACAAGGTAGCCTACAAACTAGCCTTTATGATGTTCAAAATATAAATACTTTTGAACAACTTCCAGGTTTTGGAATTTAAATATGCTGTCATTTGCAATAAAATAAATACAAACATTTCTTGGTTACCATATGAAGTTGTTAGGTATTGTCCAGGAGTCATTAAAAAAATATTGTGTTTATTAATTGTAACAGTTAAAAAACCAAACAAAGAAAATTAAAAATAAATGTGACGAAACTTTAAAAATAATTGCAAATACTGAAAAGAACTTCATTTGAATTTAAATGACAACAAAAGATATAATTAAACTAGGTTTTGCCGCGACTTCGTCCGCGTGGAATAGTGACTTCCGGCAGATTTTTGGTTCTTCCCACATACCTAGTTTCCGTTCTTGCTGGGTTTTCGGAATGGTCGAGTTCCCGTAGAATTTTCAGGATAAAGCCTATGTTTTTTTATTCTCAATGAATTACTCTTAACCAATAACATATTTATTTGTTTATTTGAATAAAATTTAATATTATTATGTTGATACAACTTAAACAAATTATTTCGACCAAATTAGGTACCATAAAAACGTTTTTTGTGAGTTAATCTTAAAAGATAGACATATACTGTCGCGGACTGTTTTAAGATCATTAAAAGAGCTATTATTCTTTATTACATATTTTTTGTGTATCTTGAACCGTTTTCACGGATCACGCAACGGAAGGCTTCAAAGATGAAATAATCTCCCGTTTTTTACACATTTACCACTATATCTTTGCTCCTATTGGTCGTAGCGTGATGTTACATAGCCCACAGCCTTCCTCGATAACTGGACTATCCAACACAAAAAGAATTATTCAATTCGAACCAGTAGTTTCGAAGATTAGCGCTTTCACACAAACAAACAAACAAACTCTTCAGCTTTATAATATTAGTATAGATTGGATAAAATAGCTAGTAACGAACGCAAACGTACAGGAAAAAATATTTAAAAACTATTAAACTTGATGCTTTAGGAAATATTCCTTCAAAAATTAATAAATATTATTTCGAAGAGAAACTATTTCCTTTCAACTTAATTGCATAGTTTGTTGTTTCTACTGTAGGAAATTATTTGAACTCTTTATTTTTTCGGTTATAATAGTAATCTAGATGAAGTAGGTGTTCAATATTATTAATGTATATTATGGTAAACTCGTGATTAAGACCATGTCTTGTTTTAATTATAGAGAAATATATATTTACTAGCAATAATATACATTTGAATACGGAGATAATACTTACTTTTTAATAGCGCAAGTATATTTAGTTTTGAGATAACTTATAAAAATAAGATATACTATCTCTATTACGATTTGATTGATTTTATCTTTGTTATATATATATTGTAAAAATGCGAATTTTATGTCGTTCAGCAATCATAATGTTGTTGAAAGTTATTGCTTTTTTCAGTCTTACGGTATTGGCATCGGCAGGTCGATCGCCCCATGCCGATTACCTTCAAGAACTAGTAAATGAACATGCTTTCGGACCTTACATCTCGGACAATGTTATTGAAGATGCCTTTCTTGATCTAGTGAGTGAAATAATGCTTCTAGTTTATTTTTGCCGATTAAGACATAGCTTCTATTTAAATTTTATTTATTTTTTCATATATTAAAGCGTAAAGTTTCATCCTTTTAGCCGGATTTAGTGCGGAAATACAACTACCCATTTGAGGAATACAATGTGACTACCGAGGATGGATACATTCTGGGTTTGCATCGTATCCCCCATGGCCGTGATAGGAATAACAAACCTGGAAAGAAATCAGTCGTGTTCCTTATGCATGGGTTGTTTTCATCTGCAGCTGAAAACGTGCTTATGGGACCCGGCAGTGGTTTAGGTGAGTTTAAATGATAAGAAAATATATTTCTTCTAAACCACATTGATTGTGCGAAAACTAATAAGGTCAATTATGTGTATTTCAGCTTACGTGCTAGCTGAGGAAGGATTTGATGTGTGGATGGGCAATGCCCGTGGTACCCACTTTTCAAGGAGACATGTTAAATTGAACCCTGATTCTCGTTTGAACACTGATTTCTGGCAGTTCTCTTGGGACGAAATAGGATCTAAAGATTTGCCTGCCATGATCGACTTTGCACTTGCCCATACCGGACAGGAAAAATTGCATTACATTGGTTTTTCTCAAGGCACTACCTCTTTTTGGGTGTTGGGTTCAATAAGGCCAGAATACAACAAGAAGATTATTTCAATGCATGCTTTGGCCCCTGTTGCTTACATGGCACACAGCACGAACAAATTATTCAATGCGTTAGCACCTTTTTCATCTCAACTGGCGGTAAATAATTAAAGACAAAAATATCTTCTTAGAATTTTAACATAAGCTATATAAACGCAATGTCATTTTCAGGGAGCTGCAAATTTATTACGGTTCAACGAGCTTTTCCGCAGAAGCGAATTGATATCTGAAATAGGAAAATTCTTTTGCAGTGACGGCCAACCATTACAGTTTCTATGCAGCAACATGTTGTTCTGGATTGCAGGAAAGAATCCCGATCAGCTCAATACGGTATACAAATTATTTATCTCGATATATAAAACATATATAATTTCTATATGAACTAGGTATAATTAATATTTTGTCATTTAATACAGACCATGTTGCCGGTGATTACGGGACATTTGCCAGCGGGTGCATCTATAAGACAGTTGGCGCATTATGGTCAATCTATTCATGGAAAAGAATTTAGACGCTATGACCACGGTGCTATTAAAAATCTGTTGAAATACAGATCTATCAGACCACCCAGCTACGACCTATCGAAAATAGACGCTCCAGTTTTCTTACATTACGCACAAGCTGATCCTCTAGCTCATGTAACTGATGTTGATAGATTGTTTAGAGAGCTGCCACGAGTCGTCGGCAGATTCAGAATGTCACAACCGACGTTCAGCCACATCGATTTCGTTTGGGGAAAAGATGCTAAAACAATGGTATTCGATCGACTTATTGTCCTCATGAAGGCAATGGAATTATAAGGACATACCTATAATATGACCGGCTATTTATTATTTATTTTATTTAAAATGAATAAATTATTGACCAGTGTAAAATGTTCATATAATAAATCAATTGAAAAATAACAGGTTTTTTTGCAATTTTATAGTTTATAGTTTACCTAGTGACCAAACTTTTATTAAGAATCTTAATTATTCAAAAAGAAAGTTATCAAACAACATTAAATATAAAAATAAGTCATGAATGCTATGTTGGTGTGGTTATTCTAAGTTGGCATCATGACCCTACAAACGTACCCCTTTTCAAAAGAAAAGTAATATAATAAAATATTATAAATTATAAATAATAAAATATTATCGCTTAAAGATTTAGACCCAGTTTTCACCAATCATGATTAAATAAGTAACATCGTGTTAAGGCGTTTGATGCTCTGTTAGATGTATCGAGCGTCCCACCACGCATAAATGTCCGTTTAAATGTCTTAACCAGCCACTAATATTAATTCCTGCTCTGGAGCTCCGTCTAATGGCTAACCGAATGTTAATGGCATTGTCTAAACTCAACTGTCCAATCACAGCCCTGATTTCTTGTAACCATAGTAACGTCATCTGTTTTGTCAATTTCGACTATTTCCTTGTTATTATTAATAAAGTGAATTAAAATTTCATTTAGTATGATGATTTTGACTCCAGATTTTCTATGACATTGCAAATTAAGTTTTCTTTTTATATTTCTTATAATTTGAACACAATTTATGTCTATATTTATAACACAATAATATATAACACAATTTATTGACAACACGATTTTGACAAGTTACACCTAGTAAAATGAAAAGAAAGCTTTTTGTGTGCTAAATGTATGCAACCATCGATATATAAAATTTGGTCGCATTAGCTTACAAGTGACGTATCGAGGGATATATCCGATCAAAGTATAAAGTGGTGCATCGTGGCAAACGTGCCGTGTTAAACGCTATAGTTTCCACTTGATCGTCTTATAACAAGAACGAATAATTTGGTAGTCGGTCATATGACATGGCGTTTAATAATGCGTTGTTAATTTGTCATCGTGGGACGTAAATATTTTAACAAACATTTATAATTATGAAGGTTGGTTAGTAAATGCTGTGTTAAGATTAAACAAACATTGATTGGTTAAACTGGGTCTTAAGATGGTCATTCAACGTGAAACACTTTGAATTTTGTGTGATGAGGCCATCTACTACTTTCCTACCAATGCTACTTTTTACGATCTTTTTATTAAAATAAACAAGTAACAACTTATGTTTATGCCTATATGCTCACATGTAATACACTTCTAAAACATAGTAACATGAGACGAAACCTCTTAGCATTCCATGGATTCACCGTGCGGGTGTCGGGTCCATCGCGTTGCAGGGAGAAGAGCTTCAACTTCAAGTGTAGGTTTAAGGGGGTTTATCTATCGCGCGTTAAACGCTCACTTCCACTGTCTAAGCTCCTCTCTCTACCTAACCGAAATTGAAAAGAACCTACTAGGCAGCCCGCCTTCGAAATACGTTTCAAGAATGTATTAATGTGAGTTCTGGACAGGCCCAAGTCTTTTAGTAGGTTGTAGAGAGATTTCTCTGTTATACCTCTCGCTCCCACTTCTACCGCGTACAAATTCACGACGAACTTATTTCGAGTGTGTTCGCTTGTGTGTCGTAATATTTATTGTCCTTAATGGTATGGTTTTTAGGGATGTGGGTTTCCCAAGGAACCGTAAGCTCTATAGAAATTAATAATTTATGTAATATTAAATGTCAAACTTTTCAGTTTTCCGCAGACATATATTGTCATTTAAAACCTTTTTTATGTGTAAATCGATAAAAAACGTGGTTCTCATAATTTTACAGTGTAAGAATTCTTAAAAATTTGGTAAATAATGATTGAAAAAAATTGTTATATAAGAAAGCTTTTCCTCCTTGTTTACATGATCAAAGTTTGTTCAAGTGTATTCAAGAATAGGAGGGACAAGATAATAGGCAGTTGGTACGAGCATACCGCACTGTCTCTCATGAGGCGGCTTGCGTGCTGGCTGGGACGCCTCCCTGGGAACTGGATGCCCAGGTTCTGGCGGAGGTTTACCACCAGCGCGCGCGAGATCGATCCCGGGGAACGAGTCCGGACCGGGATCGGGTGGATAGTTGGCGACGATCTGCGCGGTCGTCCTTGTTCCATCGGTGGAGGCAAAGGCTCTCTGAGCCAGTGGCCGGGTTGCGAACCGTGGAGGCTATTCGCCCGCTCCTCATGGAGTGGGTGGACCGCCGACACGGATCCTTGACCTTCCGGCTGGTGCAGATCCTCTCGGGGCACGGTTGCTTCGGGAGGTATTTGTGCCACATAGTCGGGAGAGAGCCGACAGCGACGTGTCACCACTGCAGTCGCGTGGAAGACACCGCTGACCACACCTTGATGGAATGTCCAGCGTGGATATCCGAGCGTAGCCAACTCATCCGCGTGGTTGGCGCAGACCTTTCGTTGCCGGCAGTGGTCCAGGCCATGGTCGGCAGCGAGAGGGCATGGCAGGCGGTGGCCGACTTCAGCGAGAGAGTCATCTTGCAGAAGGAGGCTGCTGAACGAGTGAGGGAAGACGACCCCTCCTCGGCGCCGCTGCGCCGACGAAGGCTGGGTCGAAGGCAGCGGGCTTATGCTCGCGACCTGCCTCCCCAGTGAGGAAGCCTCCGGGCGTCGGTGGGGAACCGGCGTCCGAGTAACATAGGCTAGAGGAAGAGCGGCGTGTTTGGCGTTCCCGGCACGCTGCTCTTGAGTCGGAGGGGTGGTGTGGTCAGCCACTGATGCCCCTGCCGATGGCGGAGTCCCTTTCGGGACTCGTGCGTAGTGAGCGGAAGTATGGCTTGCCGTTCCCGCTCACTAGCCTACGCACAGCGCAGAGAACGTCGAGGTGGTTTAGTGGGTGGAAATCCCACATGCCCCTGTCGCGTTTCCCCCGCGGCAGGAAGTCTTTAAAAGATTCCCCTCGTAGAAAAAAAAAAAAAAAGATAATAGGCAGTTGTGATTTTACAATAAATTAAAAGATAAGTTCCGTTCTGATAATGAGTTCCAGATAAGAAATAATTTTTGTGAACTTGCTTCCAATCAGTGTATTTTCAAAACAAATAACAATTCACAAAAAGAACTGTCAAGTCACCTTTCCGCCTATCAGTTACTTAGACTGATCCTCAGAGTTAAGGTGTCATTAGTCACATATCAAGATAGAATAGAATTAGGTGATTTTAGTTAAGGTATAAATTAATTTCATATGAAAATTGTTCTGAGGATTAAGGAAGGATAGTTGTTGTTGTTTGTAAATGTAGAATATACGCACTATGTCTATATCTACTATAGAAACATGAAAGTAACAAATATTTTTTTGTGAATGTTATTGAGTTTATTATTAACCCGTTTTATGTTGTTATTTTATATATTTTAATCATGACGTACTTTCTTTATAACTATACCTACTTAATATCTAACGATACTTGATTTCGAGCTATTGGTTAATATTCTAAACTTCCATTTTCATATTTCAAAAGATTTTTATAACATTAAGACGAGTGTAAATTTGATGCCTTCCCACATCTATACATATTTTTACTTAATTCTCTATTATTGTAATAATTACTTTAATGTTGTTTTTTGTACTTAATACTTCATCAGCTAATTATTAAAGTACTTTCTGCTCTTTAACTTAGATTCTATACAATCCTTGTAGTGATTGGATAAACCAAAACAACATTGTTGTGAAATACACAAGTCAAAAAATACAAAAGTCTTGCATAATCCCTGACGACGGAACATGACTTCAAACCTCCCGTAAATCAAACACTAAATCATGAAGTATATACAATACATAGATTACATTACAAATACTACGTCATGTAATGCTATAGAAGCAAGTTAGGTCTAAACAATATCTTTCTTTGTCACCCTCATATTTAGTATATATGTACGTCAAACGTATAATTTGATTAATAAGTATAAGTTGCCTTAAAAGAAGCCAGAGTCAATTGGAAATAATTAACAGCAAAAAACTAAATAAGTTGTCTGTTTGATAATAAATATTCATTCTATTATTCATTCGAAATATTATTATAAAATAATATTTCAAATATACTGCTTAATAAGAATATCTTTAATTAATTATTATTTACGTAACTATGTATATAAATATTTTAATTGAAGTTTTTTAATATACTTTGTAGTACACTGTCCACTGACGCCACTATTTACAATAGTTTTAACGAATTTAAACGTGGAAGTAGCAATCACAATAATGATCCTCTTGAGAGGACGTCTCCTTTAACAGAGGCTACCGAAGATAACATCAGTGTTGTGCTAGGTATGATAAAGGAGGACAAAAGAATGAGCGCCAGGATGCTCTGTACTAGATTCTTCATACTTTAAACGACGACTAGAAACACCTTCGCATGGACTGGTGTCGCCAATTATTAGATAAATTTCAAAGGCGGTGACTTAAATGCTGTATTTGATATCATCACAGGTGACGAAAGTTGTAAATATTGCTACGAATCTGAAACCAAAAGACAATCAGCCAAGTGGGTATTTGCTTTACTTTCGAGGATCACCTAACTAAGGTAAAGAAAGGATCAAGCCAATGAGACGATTCCTTCATTCTTTGGTCAGTAAAGTCATTTCGTGACAGTTGTAGAAGATGGAAAGGCAGTTACTGCAGACTGGTATACCTATCATATTTGTATGTTGTCTTGGAAAAAATTCAACAGCAGTGCTGACAATGTTTCAAGGCACGCCGCAAAACGGACTGTTAATTATTTTGATTATAGCAGGTGTCAAGATAATGAGTCAACCCCCATATATTCCTGAACGGGAGATCTGCCACTTTTTATTTGTTCCCAAGAACAAAACTTAAAATTCAATATATTACCAGCCCTGAAGATACGGTGAAAGCGTACGAAAATGTTGTGGAAGAGACCCCTAAGGAGGAATGGTCCCACTGCTTTTCATTTAAATTACAT